TACCTGTTGCCCATTTGTCTTTCCTCAGCTGTTCTCCACCCATATCTGCAAATGCACCAGTGACACACCTCACTGTGGCTTTGCTGAGCTGCAGTTCCCATAGCAGACAAAAGATATTGCTAAGGTTATCTGTGAGGACAGAGAACTTGGCACTCTCCTGCTTGTAAGACATATTGATGCATAGCCCATCTGATAGCAGACCCTGGGATCCAAGTGATATGCACATCCTCAGACTGCTGAGGATTCAGTCACCTGTAACACTCCGATATCATCAACCTTGTGTAATGCTGGTGCTAAGACACCAGTTTCCCTGAATGTGAAGGAGAATCTGACTGTGCGAAGTAAACATTGATCATCATTCACAGACACGTGTGAGAGTCATTGGGCTCAGGACATGTGACCTTACTCTGAAGGGGATGAGCAATTAGTGGTTTTCTCCGGGAAGCCAAGTCCAGCATCTGTACCCACACACGTGTCCGACATGTTACATAGAGGCACCTCAAGTCAGGCTCCTGCAGAGGAGGGCTGCAGCAGACCTGCCAAGTGAGACTTTCCCACTCCTCAGGCCAGCAGGCCAGGCTCGTTATCTCCCTGGACAGCCTATTTGCCCCAGCTGTGCACCACACATGTGCGTCAAGGGAAATAGCCAGACACGCATGCATTTATTGCCCCTTTCTGAGCCAGCACAGAGCATCCATGAACCTTACAGCATTCCCATGTGCATGCTGCATGGAGGAAACAAATATCCTCAAACCACACGCAGATTCTCAGCGCCTGAGGTGCTCTGACAGCAGGAGCACACGTGGGCACACCTGCGGGCTGCACTCAGAGCCAGGCACAGCTGGCAGAGCTGCTCCCGTCACCCAAGAGATGCATATCACAGGATATGAGAGTACACATATGCATACATTAATCCATTTGTCTTTTCAAGCAGTTAACTAAGAAAAACAGTCTGAAAATGAGCTGAGAATACCCCCCCCAAAACTCGTTCCAAACTTAAAGGCTTACTGTTCCTCTGTACAAAACAAACATAACACATAAGCTCTGTCAGTCTTCTCAGCTCAAAGGGCTGGTCACACACAGCCCCCAAACTACTCTATCACTCGTTAGGACAAAACATTCAGATTCTGAATCCTTTGATTCAACCTTTTGATCTCTACCCAGATTTGTAGCACTGCTGAAACGTACACTGCAAAGTTTGAACCACATTCAGGCACCATTCACAAGGAAGCAACATCAGTGCCTCCAGCCCTGCGTGCTCTCTGTGAGGCAGCTGCAGCCACCTCAGCTCAGGCACTGCAGATTCAGCTCTGCTTCCTTCAGTTCTTGTCACGTTTTTGTGTAAACTGGGGGGTGGGGGGTTGAAGGAGAAGCAAATTCCTGAAGATAATGCAAAACATAGCAGAACAGACACATTGTGTGCAGACTGGACAGAGACAGAATCTGCCTGCAAGTTACTTGAGAGCCCTCAAGCTGCAGAAATGGCTGCCTGTGTGGAGCTGCGCAGAGGGAACATTTGTGCCTCAACAGACAATTCAGAAAAACCCCAAACCCAGACATTAGTGTTTCCCAAGAATACAGCACTATTAACCAGAAGCTCTTTTCAGTACCAGAAAATACATATCTAAGCTTAATTCACTTGAAAAGAAAGCAATACTGTGAAGGGACAGGGGCAGTGTGCTACATTAGAGCTCCCAGCAGCCTGCAGTTACATCATAGAGATGGCCCAAGCCACACTAGGGTCAAAATTCCCCACATAAAAACATAACAGAAATAGAAAGCACAGGACTCACCCATCCTCATCTGCACTTGTCTCACACCCACATCAGAGGTTCCCTTCAGACTTCTGCACTGCTCCTGCCCCCAGGGCTGAGGGGCAGCATAAGGCCAGGCTGGGGGAGGGCAGGAGCCCTGCAGCTGCTCATCCCCAGGTGCAGGTGCTTTGCTAAACTCCCAGGAAACGAATCGGCACAGTGCTCCTAAATGGCCTGCAGCTCTGTGCTCCAGCATTCTCTTCGTGCAAAACTTGGGGAGATCACATATTGTCCACTGGGAGTTTGGTACTTAGCCTTTGTGAAGGCTCCTTTGTGCCCTGTGCCTGCTTCATCCTCTGGGATCACACACCGGCTGCAGTACAAAGACTTCCAATAACCATAATACTGCCAGAGTTTCCCTTTTTTTTAAACTGTAAGAGATTCGAGCATCCCCTCTCTGGAGTCAGTCTCTCTCAGCAGCTGCCTTATGGCCTGCTCTCAAACGAAGGGAATAGGAGAGCAGGATGCCAGGCTGCCCGCCGTGTGGTGGCACTTCCAACATGGCAGTGTGGCCATGAGGGAGGGCCCTGAGCTCACTGCAAAGGGGACAATTCAGAGTGGTGGAATTCTGTGTCTTAACAATTTTGGAGAAATCATTAACATTAAAACCAAAATGCAGCACAGCACATGGAACACAGGAGAGCACAGTGAGCCACACAGTGCCTGTTGTCCTCCAGTGCAGCTCAGCAGGGACCTGTGGTCCCCCCAGCCCTCACCTGTCTGAGTTGTGCTCACAGCTGCTTCCCCTGAGCACAGTCAGCAGCCCCTGGTGCAGGATACACAGCCCTTTGCCTTCACCATCTTCCTGCATTTTGTCTGGGAACCAGCTGGGGCTGGCTGCAGTGCAGCCTTCATGGCAGGTAAAGCAGATGGAAGGGGTTTTACAGCAGCTGGAAGCATCTTCTGAACAGAAATGTTGATGTAACAGGTAGATACAAGAAGCCATTGCACCTCAGCGGCAACAGATGTCAGCAGTGTTGCCTCCTCCTTATTACATCATGGCTTCAGGTGTGTTTTCACCCTGTCCCCACTTTCCCTGGTAGAAAAGTCCATTCCTGGTTTTATGGCTGTGATAAAAGTTTGAAAGTGCTGTTCACATCTCTGAAAAATTCACACAGAAATGCAGTATTGTATGGTGCAAGCATATATTTCTGTCTGTGTGTGTATCTGCATCTTTTCCTTTCCTTGGGGTAAAGCTGAAGTAGTGCACAGAAATAACATTATCTCTGGGCACCAACCGTGTATTCATCAAAGTCAAGAAAGAAATAGGTCTTTAAATAATGAACCAACATAAATACAGTAACAATGTATGTACAAATATACAGAGCATTCACTTAAATATCTATTCTCATATTTCTCATGCTTTAATCATTCTCCATTAGGCTTTTAATCCCTCAGTTTAAAGGGGGTCTCAGAATTCTGATGGAAGATTCTTGGAGAATCTGCAGATCTTGCATGGAAGGGCTGTAATTAGGAATAGCTTGATAGGCAGGCATATGACCAGCATGTGAGTAAGTCACTCTTCCCTGAGTTATAGCATAAAATGTGCACTTCTCCTTCAAACAAACCTAACCAGAGCTGCATAATTTCTGAGACATCAAGGAAAATGAGGGAGGAGGGAGGAGTGAAGGGGTAACAGATCAAAGATACACTTTTAAATCCTTCAGTTCAGCATCATTTCTGTTTCAGTTTGGATTATTACAGATTCCAGTGCTGGAATATCCAGCTCATTACTCTGAAGAGAAATCCAGAGACCTAGAGAAAAATCTGAGATGAGGTGGGAAGAATGAGCATTAGGTTGCAGGTGTCTGCAAGTACAGCAGCTCACGATGTAAGTTCTCTGCTGGTGTAAGCCTGGTATAGTTGTGATGCGTTCCTGTTGCCAAAGATGAGAACAGAATTTGGCCTTTGCAGTGATTGCAGGGGAGTTAGAAAAGGATAAGGAGTGGCATTCGTATTTTGTGCTGTTGGTCTTATAGTATATGAACACAGAGCTGAATACAAAGGTAATTTGGTCAGGCTCGGGAAACAAAGAGAAATTTGAATTAGATACTTGCTCTTTAACAGTTCCCTCATTTATTTTTATTTTTATTTTTTTGCTTTTCCTGTATACTTGGTAAAACAAAGACCTTGGTATAGCATCACTTTATCATCATTCCTTTATTTTCTGTGCACAGTTAAGGGATAATTACTGCAACCGTGGTTTGCAGTGTGGTCCTGCTGTATTGCTTTGTCTGTAACTTCAGTCTCTGGCTTGGTAACACCTGCCACAGAGGAGACAATGAGAATCCCTGATGCTGCCAGAACACAGAGCAGGAAGCATCATAAACTGCTTCTGATCTGTTTGCTGGATTATTGCTTGAACGCTAGCAAATGCAAATGCAGTGTGTGTCTGTCTGCCTAGGGGAGGGGTTCCATTACCTGAGATTCTCTGCAGATATTGGCAGTGTCTCATGGGGAAATCTCATTTAGTATGCAGAATAAAATCGCTATGGCACTGATCATATGATTTGAAGACTCAATCCTGAAGCAGCACTACAGAAAGGGGAGGTGAAACTGCACAAGACACTCCGTTCAGACAGCATGAGGCAGTGAGCCGCACACGAATTTTATTCAGTAGGCAGGAGGAGAGCTGCTGGATTGGTCTGTTAGATGTGTAGTCAGGAAACCACAGGAAAGCTTTATTTCTGGCAAGTCTGCATTTGTCAGAATGCATCACTGGTGTTACTAGAAAAAAAGGAAGCCTGCTGCTACAGAGATTAAAAGGTAGAAGCAGCGACAGCTACAGAAGATGACTGTGAAACTCCTTTGAAAACCACCTTAACCCTTTCTCTCAAGAGTGAATTTAACCATTGGAGGGCACTGATTCCATCTGACTGTCTGGAAAGTGTGGTGAAAAGGATGCACGTTATGAGGAAGCATTCTACCAGCAGCAGTGCAAACTAGAGGAGAACTTCTACCTGCATTGCTGACATTTGGCAAAAATTATACAAGAAGGCGTTCTGGTACCAGAATCTTGGGTTTGGGATTTTCTTTTCCTTTTCTCCTTCAGTCCTGGAGAAGGATTTTGTGTTCTCCTCCTACCCATAAACACACACAAGGAAAACACAAACCAGGACTTGGAATCCTGCAGGCTTTCCAAAGAACAGGCATGGTACAAAATGTGATTTTGGTGTTTTTCCGCAGGCGACTCAGCCAAAGACCTGCTGTTGAGGAGCTAGAAAGAAGAAATATACTTAAACGTGAGTACTTTCTTCTTAAAATATTTTATATATTTGCTGAAACAGCAATAACATTTGTGAAACATATTCTTTTTAAAGATATATTAATTTACTGGGATTATTTTCTGTACCTAAAAGTTTTCATGTTTAGCATGCTCTGGGTTTCAAATGTTGCAGAAATGAGAATTTACACTTTGCTAAGGGCATGCAATTTAGTACAGAAAAGAGGGACTTGCTTAAATTCCAGCGTTGAAATAATTTATATTGTGAATACACTGCTATGGGTGTCTGAGAGGGGAGCAGCATCCAGGTGTCACACAGTGCAGTGACACACAGACTGCCATTTTTGAAGCCATTGACTGTGTTGGCTAAAGGAGAATGGACAAAGCATCCTTGCAAAGGTGTGAGGACATTGCCAAAGACAAGTCAGAGATAGTAACAGTTATAGAGGGAGAATTCCAGGCCTATTATAAATATTGCTACAGGAGAATGTTGCTCAATGTCTTTCAAATAAACACAGGGCAGAAACTCAAAACTCTTTTCCTAAAGATTGGTGTTACAGCCAAGGGATGAAACAGGTGATAGATGCATTGGGAATCCTCTGATCTAGATGGAGAGAGAGCTCTGAAATTCTCTCTGTGATGGGGTCTGAGATAGGAGAATGAGAGAAGTTTCCTGCTAGAAGGAAAAGAATGTTGCTTCTGTTATTTTTGTGGTTTAGTTAGTGTTGAAAGTAAAAAGCAAACAAACAGCACAACACCCCAATAGCAGAATGATGGAATGATGTGATAATGGGTTGCTTCTCATGAAACATGAATACAATTTCTATATGGCCACATATAATGTGACTGTGTGGCATATGTCATAGAAACAATGTTGCCTTTGGTGTTTAATTCATATTTTATTATCAATGTGATTGAAGTTCTTTAGAAAAAAAAAGTTACCCACATTTTGTTACCTAAAATTTAATGTCTTGGAACTTTCCTAGTTTAAAGGAAAAACTTATGCAGTTGCTATTAAAGTTATTGTAGGTTTCATTTCACTTTTGACATAAAGGGATTCCACAGGCAACTTACATTTTCAGCACTCTTCCAAAGCATACGTTGTGCATGCTTGAATTGGATGCAAATGTGCACAGCTAAATGAGAAACAGGGTGCATTCTTTGAAAATGTGAATGGATGAACTTGGCCTAAATTTACCTGTCAGCTACACAAGAGATAAGAAAAAAAACATTAATGCAAGATTCTGAAATGTGAAACCAGATTCTCAAGAGTCAGTGCCTTAGATCTCCTTTAAGACCTGTTTTTAGGTGATTTTTCTTTTTATTATTTAGTTCCCTAAGGCAGGGCTGATCTTTACCAAAAAAATCTGTTCTTTTATGTTTACTTTTTGAAGAATGCTGGTTACATCCTTAATCTGGGTTAAACTGACAAGCTTTGATAATAAAAGTTTGAATACATTCATATAATGAGCTTAGAGAGAGATAAAGCAGAAAGAAGATAAAGCAGAATTAAAGATATTTCCTGAATGCTGGCTAAACATACTGGTCTAGATTTGTATCTCATTTAAAGGAGCTCCTGACACGAAGCAAATCCATTGACTTCAGTTCAGTTGCTCAGGCTTTATATAGATTTGCCTGAAATCACAGTGACTTCTATTCCAGTTACCTGTTCCATTATATAAAAAGTTAAGAATCTGTCAAGAACTGAAGTTATCACTAAGCTGTGACAGCAGTAATCTTAAAGGCTGGACTGATACAACAACTCTAGGTTCAGTTGTGAATGAATGTGGAAATTTGCAAACTTTCCTTATATTAGTGTGAATATAGAAATTCTTGTTATGGTTTTTAAGCACCTGCACTGGGTCTGACATGCAAAGATGTAGCAACATAAATACTCTTCAGTGAAATCACTTCAGCATCCTACAGTTTGTAAGGGTTTGTACAGCTGACTCATAAGTTTCCTAACATCTCTTAATAACACACTCTGCTAAGGAAAATGTAAAGCCAACGCTTTCTTCTCTAAATTTTGCTGAATTTCTACATCCTTTGCTTTAATGATAGAAACACTGCTGGTTTACCATCACAACTAAAATCAAGACCCAGGTGTTCACACGTGTTCTTGTGGCAGCAGAAAGCTGACACTGACATTCAAGAACGCAGCATCTCTTAAATCACACTGCAAAATCATTCTTGTCACCAGGAATTGTTTCAGTGTTATGCACAGCTAAGAATTCCCCAAATAACTCACAGAGAAGAAAAAATGAATTACAGTACTACACATGTCATTTCATAATTGAGAGCATCTCTCTACTGAGATTTATAAAGTCAGCCCTCCCTAATGAGTGTAGCTGTGTGTAGGCAGAGTGATGCTGATAGGGAAAACCTCTCTGGTTTGTCTCTGTAATAATGCTTGAATTTTGTATTGCCTTTGCTAGCAGTTCCTATCTTATCTTGCTTTATATTTTCCAGATGAATTATTTCTCATGTTTTCACATTTGGCATTTTCTTGGAGCTGGGAATAAGCACTGAGCATGTCTGAATGTATCACAGAAAAGGGTCACTGTCTAATGTTTTGTATATTCAAATTTAAAAATGAATTTTCCAATCAGAAATTTATATTTGTGGTTTTTATTTTGGAATTCTCTCAGTGCATCTCTGACTGTGATGTGTTAAAAGGCACCAAACCACAGAAAGTTATTCTCTTTTAATAGAAATATCTAGATATGAAAATACATAATACTCTAAAATGAGTGAATTAAAGTGTAGTTAAGCATATTAATAAGTTCTTGCAAAAGTTTCTGTATCTTAGAATACGCTCTACTTTTTAAGGCGTTCTCCTTTCAGACATTTCACACTTAAACAGGTTCTAGTCCCTGAGACAGCACTGATTTTGGTTGCTCTAGTCTCTGTTTTTATTGCCTTGCCACTGAATTTTGATATGGCCTGTTACAATATTTTATATTCATATGATTTACATTTCTGCTACAGCCAGTTGTGGCTGTGCACTGCTGTGTTACTCTGTACTGATACTTATGCTGGCATTTCATTGTAATCAAATGAGCGTAAAAATACAGAATCCTTCCTTACTAAAAATATCATTTTGGAAACTCATCTGCACTGCTGGTGTCTTTTTAAGGCAAGTTAAAGCACACACATTATTTTTAATACTGGAAGTATAATAAACTAGAGAATCCCAGAGTGGTTAAACATTTTTCTCCAGGTCTTCAGCTTTGTTCAGGTCACAGACTCGTGCCTCAATTTAGTAACAGATAGTACTAGAAATAGAAATGCCATTACCTCGTATCCCAAGGCAAAGGATATATTTCACACTGTGTTACAGCACTCCACTCTATTTTTAGACCCAGTGTGTAGGAGTTATCACGGCTTGAATGCTAATAGGAACAACACACAAAAGCTAGCTGGCTTAGGTTAGAATGGAATGCTACAAAAGAAAACTTGTGAGGATAAAGAGGTTCGAATATCAGCGGCACAGACAAAAAGCATGCAAGTCAAAGATAACTACTGTGCCAGTGTGACCATCTGAAGATGTAGCCTGAGAATTAAGGTTATACAGGGCAGAACATTACTTTCCCTGAAGCTCCTGCAATAAGTCTTTTCAGCATCTACTGCAACATAATGGCTCCAGCAAAACAGAGAATACAAAAAAAAAATGATGATTAACTATGGAACATTTTGATTTTTTTTCTCAAGTTCATACAATCTGAGAGTTGGTGTGGCTGCTTGAATCTAAATGTTGGCTTATGAAATCAGAACTGGAGTTCAGAGCTCAGGAAAAGCTGTCATTGGCACCAGTACTTTGTCCTCACAGAGGGGTGACTGTACCTTCCAGTAGAGAACCAGAGGTGTACAGAACTAAGAAAACAGACACTAAGAGCCAGCTACTAATTTTTATGTGATGTAATTCTTATTGCCTTGGAAACTACTGTTCTTCCTCATGAAGAAAATCATCCTTTTTCTTTTTATATTCTCTGTAGAACGAAACGATCAAACCGAACAGGAAGAAAGAAGGGAAATCAAACAAAGGCTGACAAGAAAGGTAAAATCTTGCAATACCTCCCATTAGCTTTTAGAAAGCTTGTAAAACACTGAACCGTCACCTAGGTCACTGTTACACTGTACTTCCTCCTCAGCAGTGCCTGAGATAGTGGTGTCTAGTATACGAATATCTACCATGTCTCAGCTATTAGAATTGATAGAAAATCTACATAGAAATTTTAAATGAAAAATTAGAATTTGCTTGCACTCTGCATATTTCACAGCTATACTGCTATAAAAGCAGTACTTCATTCTTCAGAGCAGAGCTGGACTGGCTCCCTGCTGAGCACCAGAAGTGCTCCCACAATACGTTTCTCTTTGCATTTTAAGGTGTTCTGAGATCTTGTTATTGTTCTGTTCCCAGGAAACCCCTTTGGAACTGTAAGCCAAATTTGCCAATAACCTGTTATATCCAAACTGGTCTGGTCCTGAAAGCCTTGCACAATCTGCTGCTGAATGCAGTAGAGAAACCCTACATTAAATATGTAACAAATTCATTCTCATTCCTTTGCCTATTCTAAATTTATGCAATTTATAAATTTCAAGGTCAAAATATTTTCATCTTTTCTCCATTATAAAGCCACTGTGCTGTAGCCCACACCTCAACTCAAACAATTATTACTCTCATAACAATAGTCTAAAGAACTTAATGGTGCCATGGAATTTCCAAGGTGTTTTTATGCAGACACATAAATGCACACTAAGCTAAGATGGCAGGCAGAAAATATTGCACAGTTTCTTGAAATGTTGGTTATTAATATTGGCTCTATTTTACAAAACTATTTAATGCAGCTTAACCAGAGACCTACAGTAGATGAACTAAGAGACAGAAAGATCCTGATTCGATTCAGTGATTATGTAGAAGTGGCAAAAGCACAGGACTATGACAGAAGAGCAGATAAACCATGGACAAGACTATCAGCAGCTGATAAGGTACTGACATAATTAAAATATTATTGCTTTCTTCTTGGCTTGTGTAAAAAGCCACGTTGGATTCTGCAAGGGCATTTTACCTCTCTAAATGTTAAGGTTATTTGATATGCTGTAGCCACACTGACCAATGTATACTGTCATAAAAAAATGCTATTTATAAAAAAAATGCTTATTTAGTGCTATAAAGGTCAGCTTATCCATTGATGCGGGGAGGGAGGGAAAGATGGATACAGTCCTTCTTCATGCTTTAGGTTGCAACTCAAAACCACTTCCAGTGAGCACACAATATTAACATTCATCCTCAAACTGCAAGTTTTTTTTCTTAGACGTGCAAATGCCCTTCACTACGTTTTGAAACATGCAATATTTCCTCTCCTGTTCCCTGTGAATACTCATGGGGTTGGTTGATCTTTCATTTTCACGAGCATAAACAAGCAATTGTTTCTGCTCCATCATATACCTGCCACATAATTAATTTACATGTGAATTTAATTTTCACATCTAAGTACCTGAGATACAACCAAAAGAGTTCAGCATGATTCCAACTAGAACAGTTGCTGAATAAGGAGTTTTGAAGTTTCAGGGATGCAGCAAATAGAACAAGTGCAGATGCCAGGATAATTACTGGATAAGATGGAAATACACGGGTGGATTACGTACTGCTTTGGTCTGAGATGCAGAAATCAAATTCTTTGTTCTTCATTCCAGTATTTCCCAAGTAAGAAGTGTAATAAATGGCTTTAGAACACTTACATAGAAAAGGAACAATATTTTATCTTTTCCCATATTAGCTCTTCTCTAGCAATCCATAAAATCATCAGCAATCTATACAACCTAAATATTCAGCATCCCTACTGGCATAGTATGCCTTGCTGTACATAACACCTATTATTTCTGCCTAATGAAACTCATGTTCTGCTTTGTGAGTCTGGTATTTTACAGTGCTTGTAAGTACAAAATTATTTGTTAACTCTCTTCTATTTTCAATTCCTAGGCAGCAATTCGGAAAGAGCTAAATGAATACAAAAGTAATGAAATGGAAGTACATGCATCAAGTAAACATTTGACAAGGTCAGACTTCCAGCTATTTATTTCCATTGCTTGATAATAAACAGTCTCTTTGAGTCCTGAATCTGTAGATTTTGGTCTTACATGCTGAATGTGTATAGGAAGCTGTATTTTGAAAGAAAATGGATGCATTTCTTGTTCATTTCAGAGCCTGGCTTTTCTGATTAAAAAATAAATTTAGATTAGCAAGTACTGAGAAGTTCCCACATGTCAAGAGTATCAGTCAGCTTGCATTCTTTGCACCTAAGATTCAAAAGCTATGGCAAAAATTTAAATGTAGGGTATAACAGCAAAAAAACAAAACAAAACAAAAAACTTACTATTTAAATGCATTTAAATGCAACATCATTACATACTACTCTGATTCCCCCATTAGCAGGGGAGTAATGCCCATATATATTACATAATAGACTCGGTGTAGAAGATGGAAGCTGTAGATTTGCATCACTTGAACAGCAGTCCAATTGCTACTGGAAAGTGCAGTCCTGAAAAGCACAGTTAGTGGCAGACAAGCAGAAGCAAGACATAAAACTGGCTTGGACTCTTGGCACTGCCTGAGTGGCTGGGCCACTGTGTGTCTAGCCAGTCTTGCCTTTGCCTCATCACAGCACTATGACAGGTTTATGTCTAAACATTCATGAAACCACTGGAATTTTCCAACAGACAGTAACTGTGAGAGAAGCCATTAAGCTCCATGCAAAAAGACCTTGTCGCTTACAGAAAAATTTAAATAGAAACCAGTTATTTTGTACAATTTTTGCGATGTCTGTTAAGTGAGTCCTATTACTCTTAAAACACAGTTTTGGGACTTGCTGATAGCACAGTGTACTTTTGCCAGGTCTGTAAGCATTCTCTAAAATAAGTTGCCTAACACTGCACTTAGGAACTTGGTGTGCGGTCCCATTTTCTGGAAGGCACACCAGCATTTCCATCTTTGTTTCTGAACCAGAGTTAATCTGCTCTTAATTGAGCTTGGCATGGTCAATGAAAAGGTGATCTAGGCAAATACACAAGTCCTAATACAGTGCACGTTAATCTAAATGTTACGGTGATAGAATTCTAGAGTGTTCATGCAAGTCTTAGAGCCCTTTTCACATTGTAGAGCTGAGGCTAAATGTGTATGGCAAAATATCATTGCAGTGACAGAGTGGAATACAGGGAAAAAATTAAAGGGTGCAGTTAAGACTAGAATTGAAAAATACCTTCTCCTAAGTGAGTGATTACATGGGAAATTTAAGCAGATCGCAATGATGCACTTTTGAATTTAGTCAGGATATTTGGAGCAAACAGGCTTACAATTTACAATTACTGCTAAAGTATTACAAGTGACTAGGACTTCAATTGCACTCAGCTAAGAGAACACACCTACAAAGCAACAGCATATAAATTCCAGACAGAATTTGAGACTATCATGTATTAATCTAACAGTATATTCTCCTATTTTCCAAAGCACTAGACTTATTCTTACAAAATAATAAGATCATTGCACAGTAAAGAATGTTACTGGCAATGAAAACTATGGCCTGACTCCTAAAGGAAAAAAAAATACAACCAACAAGCTCCACATATGTTTTACATTTGCAGTCCCTGATAACTACAAAATGGCTTGGCTGGACCCTGAGAACTGTAACTGCACTACAGTCATGGCATTCCATACATGTGGAAGTGTGTCAGCGAAAATTAAACTTGCTTACAGTTGCTAATATCCTACAGTACTGTTAATGTGCCTTTAGAGAACGAACATTGATTTTTAGAAAGTTAATAATCTAAACCAGAATTTTTTTTAATTATATATTTTTTAAATGTTGAAGTAGTTTAAAAATGTCTCTTATTTGTCCTAGATTTCACAGGCCATAGAAATTTTCTTCTGAGAAGAATCTGCCCTTACTTTTTGATATTGCTGCTGAACACACGTTGGGGAATCATCTTTCCCTAATGTTCAGTCCTGGATACCTTGATGTTTATGAGAAAGGAGGACTGCGGATGAAAACTCTGCAGCACTTAAGAGGGAAACACCAGAGATGTTCGTCGCTTTGAAGCCAGAAGAGCAATGGCCTGTTGAATGGGATTAGCTGCTGAAAAAGACTGAAGTAAAACTACTTGAAAGAACCTACTACTCTCCTTTACCACTTGTTTTAAACTGTTTTGCAGTCTATCATGGAAAAGGAGATGTGCATGTACAGGCTTTACCATTCCAAGGCCTCTGACATAATGGACATGACGCACTGTCATTCAGTATTACGTTGACAAGACATTTTGAACTTACCACAATTAGTTTGTAAGACGCTTAAGTTCATGTTCTAAAAACTAATTTAATGTATTATAATTTCATTCTTTTTTTATATATTGTCTAACAAACACAGCTGCAAGCATTTTTGACTCCTGTTACTTTTGTTCCTTAATTAAATGACTACTTATTGCAGGAAATGAACATGTTTCCTGAAGATGTTTTTTCCCAGGGACAGTTGGGAAGGGGTTTCAGTTATTATGCACTAGATTGTTTTCCTGCTTTATCAACAGAGAATCTTCAAAAAGATCATTGTAGCTAAGGACCTCCATCTTATGTAATATCAGCATTTTGCACCAGGCCCTTTGCATACCATATTGTCATTACACAGTACTTTCAGACCTCTAATGACAGATCAGTTCATATCACTAGAAGTTACTAATTTGCACAACCACAGATAAACAATTTATATGAAATTGTACTTTCATGCTTAAGAAACATATTATTTTAATGTTTTTAATAGTAAAAATGTATATATATAGTTCAATGATTTCTTGATAGTAAAAGGAAAGAAGTTATTAAATGATGATAAGCAAATAGAATTGGTTTAGAAAAATATAAAAGCTAGACATTTCTAATAATGCTTGACATCTAGAAACATCTGAGAATTCTTCTCAAGGAAAACAAACAAACAAAGAAATAAAGAAAAAATACACTGATACCTGGAAAGGATGCCTTATGGGACAGCAACAAAATGACACAAAGTCCCAAGACAAAAATTTCTCTGCAGGTGTTTTAAACGCTGTCCTTTTAGGAAGTGACTCAATGTCAGAAATCTGAAGAGGGTGCTGTGTTACAGCTTTGTTAAGATGATCTCCATGGAGCCATGAAGCATGAGAATAATCAAGAAAGTAAAGGTACGTAAGATTGTTTGTATAGGCAACTACTGAATTGCTGCCAGCTAGTAAATAGAAACTGCAAACAGCAGATGGACGTTCGGTTCTCTTCAGCTGCTCAGTGTGGGACTGCAAGAATATAAATAGTATTACACTTCAGGTAAACTAATATTTAAGAACTGAAGGTAAGAACATACAGTGTAACACAAAATATGCATCACTAAGGGCAGCACTAGAAGAAACTGATCTTGGGATCAGTTTCATGGGAGATGTCACGCCCTGGACCAATCAAATTGACACAGATAATTCAGCTTGCTCTGAAGCTAGCTGTAGTTTTGTACATCTTTTTAATGTTTGTTTTACTTATCAAAGACTTGAATCACCCAAATACTTGATCCAAAGATTTTTTTTTCTATTAATTGCAGTTTTATAACTTGGCTTTTCACAGAAATATGTAAATGACCTTTTAACATACTGTTCATTATATTTATCAACAATCTTTTATTAATGCAATATTTATTGGTAGTTATATTCCAGGTGTAATGTACAAAAAAAGGTAAGAAGGAAAGAGAGAAGTGTTTCATAGGCAGAACCACATCATTCAGCTTAGGAACTGTTAACTACAGACTTAACCAATAGTCCATGAAAGTAACATGCCTGTTTAGCACCGGTGCAGACAGCACAGACCTTCACTGATAAAAATGTGTAACATACATTCAAAGGATGTAAAAAATACAATAAATATTTTAAGGGTATCTTAGTTTTTAAATTCCAAACAGTGCCTATGAGCTGTATTACTACTTCCACTTAGCTATCTTGTAGTTACGCAGCAACATGCTTAAGATTCTTCCCCACATCCTCAGCTGTCCATCCATCACAAGCATCCTAACCTTCTTCCTGCTTTGTCTGGTAAGAGACATAAAATTGTGACTACTTCAGAGCCACACACAACCACTGTCAGCTGACCAATGTCACTCTAGTCTACTGATGGGCAAATCTAACAAGTTGTTTGGAGACTGCACGCGCTATAGAGTGCTTGCTTCTGTTAGAACTTAAGATACTCTTCACTGAAGGTATGCTTAGCCCAGGGAGGCCATTTTCCCTGTGCTAATCTGTACCCAAAGAAAAAAAAGAAACAGTCCTCCAGCACAGAGTTTCTGTCATTTTAGTTGTCTGCTTTGAATGACCTTGGATTTTCCAAACCACAGACTAAAAGACGAGTAGTGTTTTTGTGAATGCTTCATCAATGATGCTTTATATTTGTATCTTTGTCGAATTTGATTGTATTTGCTTAATGTTTTTAGAAGTTAATAGGGCTCAGTAAAGACTAGAGGATGGATAGTACAATTTCACACTTCTATTTCAACAGAAGTTCTTACTAAAAATAATATTATTTTCTCCAATTTGTGTGCAGCGTAAAAAAAAAAAAAAAAAAAAAAAAAAAAAAACACGGGCTGTAAAGTGCACTTTTTAAAACCCTGTACAGTTAAGAGAAAATATTTAAAACACAGATTAGATCAGTAAAAAATTCTGCGTCTCACGAGGTCCATCTAGTGGGGATAGCAATAATTGCAGGCTTAAAAAAACGGTCAAAAATTAGAAAAGTGTGCACTATAGTTACATAGATGGAATGAATAGACTAAATTATTTTCTATTTAATTTCCTCCCTGGCAGAATACAGACTCATATGTTTAAAGTTTAATTTATAAGAAATATTTTTCATTTAAAACTACATGTTCACAATAAGCTACTTCCATTCTGTGGCATAAGAGCACTAACTCTCCATTCTACTCTCAGTGCATGTGGGATGGAAATGTCTCACAGCCATTTCTGATCTAAGAAGTTGCTTTATAAAGAGGGTATTTTTAATAAAGATAAAAGTAAACATTTTCATGTAAGGTCATAGATTAATTTAAGCTGGGAAGAACCTTTCTGAAGGTCACTGAGTCAAATCCCTTGTTCAAGGCGAGTAAGACTAACTTTCAGAATTGCTCAGTGAGTGCTGAGTTCAAGCTACTATACATGACTGACTCTGGACTTTCCTTAATCCTTAGAAATAAAGACTGTAGTGTATTAGTTACCACGGATAATTTAAAAATTAGTAAGATTTCCCATTTTCTTTGAGGAACTGTCAAAGAGTTTTCTACTTTAACTTCTACCTTAACACGGAATTTTGAATTGTATCATTTTTCTCTCTGGAAATGAAGAAAAAACAAGACACACGCTACATTTTTCATGAAATATTTAATATAAATATTTGCAATATAGTTCAACCATAAAATTTTACAGTCATTTTCTGTTAGAAACTCTTACTGAAGTATAATGCCACAGAAGAATAGCATTAAATTGGCACATGAGACTGGATCTTTAAATAATTTCTTATTGTATTCTGGATCAGAAAAAAGATGAAAAGTGGTATTCTGTACACAACGACCCAAGAGATAGATTTGAAGTGAGATTTGAAGTGATTTCTCTAAAAGTTCAGTTAAATAACCTATGAAAAATGTTAATAAAGGCTTCTTCAAAAACAGCATTAGCTAAAAATAAAAAAAAAAAAATGTATTGTATTTTAGTAGATTCAGTAAAATCCCAAATTTTTCTAATAAGGGGATAAGTCTTATGGAGAAGTCATAGCAAAAAGACTTCAATTTCATTAAGGAAAATATGCTTTCATTACAGTAGTTTTCTTAAGTAAAAAAAAAAAGTCAAATTTTGTATTAAAAATGAGTGTTTATATTGAGCTTGAATTTCAGGAAAGTACATGGAAATACTACTTCAGAATTTTCCATCTTCTGCTAGAAATAATGTCTGCAATCCTCTGCGAACATTAATCAGTTCCTCTTCTTGCTGTGCAGAAAGCATTACAGTTACCACTTACTTTAAGTAAAACCTTTTTTTTTTTTCCACATTGTAATTCTTGTGTCTAGTATGCTGCTTATTAAGTATCTGAAATATGATACTTTTCCATGTTAACATTCAAAATACTAAGACTCAGAAATCAAATAGCATATCCATACTGGCTACTTTTATCACTCACATAAAAGGCTTAAAATATTTAATCAGTAATACTTAGATTTTTTTTTTTTTCCCTCATAGGATACTAAATTGCTAAAAGCTGTAAAATCTAATGTTCAAACAACTATACTTACATTGTCATAAGCAAATAAAAAGGAAGACAAGACAACTTCATTTACCATTTCTTTAAGAAATTTCTCTTGGAGTCCTTTCATGTCTTCTTTCATCAGATGCACCTATAAAAAGGTACTTATACTGAATGCACTGTCTCTGCTTGCAATTGATAACATATTTTCAATATGACAATTACATCCCTAAACGGCTTAAAACTGTAAAATAAAAGGATGTACACTCATCTACTTGCTTAAGGAGAGAGACTGTTTGGATCTAAGTTGATCTTTCTTGGATGAGTAACCATGGTGAGCAGAGTCACAGAATACAGTATTCATCTTGCAGTGATTTTACAGATAATTGCAGGCACCTCCTAATGGGTGGAATGTAGCCCTTAAGCACAGAATATTGTTACATTACAAGTATTTGATGACAGGAAAAACTATAAAAATATCTATGTGGAATTCATTCAATTCTATAAGGAATAAGGAATTTCTTTGGAAAAAAAACTAATATCTGTTAGCATAATGGAAGAAATAAAAATGATTAAAACCAGAAAAAGAACTGAAAGCTTGTACTACCTCTGAAGCAAAAATATTTTCTTCATAGTCAACACTATGGTGGATGTTCTTTTCAAAGGATGTTTTAAGGATCTCCAGCCTAAAGAAGTAAAAGTCAATTAAAATAGCTTTGTTATATGTGAACATTTCACAAATATCATGAGTACATCTCATTATTTGCAGTCTAATGGTACTTAAATGAGTGAATAAGTCTTAACATCATTATTGCTATTGGAGAATAGTTACGTTTTAATCTCTTTTTCTCATCTCGTTTATTATCCTTACTTTATGGAAGAGAGCAACTGCATAAAAAATAAAAGGCAGCCTAATTTTCAGCTTGAATTTACATCAGAAAGCAAATTTCAAAACATCACCAATGAAGCCTACTAACCTCTGTTGCTCATTTTTCATGAACGTACTTAAGGTATGCTTATGTTTTTTCCAAAAAGTCTGGAAAGAAAGATATTAACAGATGACAGCCAACAGTAACTGGCATTTTCTAAACTAGAACTGACTACAATCTAATTTGACTACTATAACCTGCAATTATAGGCTCAGCACAGAATGGGAAGTAGGTAAACAGTCACCTTAGAGGCTTTAAAACAAACAAACATAAAAGTTTGGATGGCAGGATATGACACTTCAGGAATTCCATTTTCATGAAGCCAGTTTCATCAGAAAATTTTTCACCAATATATTTGTTCTAAGTTTCAAATAAATGAAAAAGTATGTCCACAATGTTTTAAACAGATTTTTGATATAATCAAAGTGTAATTAAAAAAGAAAAAGGCCTCAGAGGAAAGAAGTTTTGTTTTAACATGAATACTTATATATCAATTTTACATTACAGCATGTAGCAGGCAACTGACCTGTCTCAGAACACACAGCCTGAAATGCAGGCCAATTGAAATAAGGCTCATGAAATAGCATAAACAGCCCATTAGAAGCAGCATGAGTTGTTTGTTCCAGGAAGAAAACCTAATAGTAACTGAAACTTTAATAGCGTAGCATAATCAAATCCTGACATTTCAAATTCATTATTTGAAACTTGAGTCATCTATAAGGAAGACAAAAAGGTTTTTTAAAAATCAGAATTAATGATACAAAGTGAAAGATCCTATGAGTAATCCATAGATTTCACAGGAACTTGTTTTTCTCCATGCTAAAGTAATTAAAAACAAACCAGTAATTCTTTCTCCATGTTATTCAGGGACTGAGAATCTTTCTCAAAATTCTCAATTTCCTGAAGAATAACAATATGAAATCTGTCCAGCTGCTTGAGCCTATTAAAAAAAAAAAAAAAAAAGGAGAGAAAAGGTTAGAATGCATTAATTGATTTTTAATTGTTTTAAGATAATTATTTCTTTACAGACCTGCATTCAAGTAGCTGTTGATTCATCATTGTCAAATGCTGGTTGGCAGTGCTTAATGATTGCTTTGCAAAATGCTCCATTTTCCGTGAACGGCTCTGTAAAGGTATTTTAACATTATTTTCACTTGAAGAAAAAAGCAATAGTACCAAAATAAAATAATAGATTTTTTTTCTCCCCCCCCCTTTTTTTTTTTTTTTTTTTTTGCTATCCTTTTAGGAAAGGGTTTTTTTTTTTTTTTAGCTAGAATTAGAAATACATTACTTGAAAAACAGATTTCCTGAGGATAGAGAAAGTATACATGGAATAAAGGTTGCAATCTTGCAGCTGTTCTTAGGTGAACAAATGCATTGTTTTGGCTTGTGTTTTCCCTTTAGCAAATAAATCACAATCATGGGGCTGATAATTTGGAAAAAAAAATTAAATCACTATGCTCATTACTTTAGATACATAGGATTGTATGAAATCATGCATAGGATAAAATTTCAAGCAGATCTGGTGAAGAAAATCATTTAAATGTTAAGTGCATAAATGTAACCGAAAAAAGCTTAAAAAGCAACTTTAGTTCTGTCATTTCTAAAAGCTCTACAATGCTTTGATTTTTTAATTTCTTTTTTAAGCAAATTCTGTAACGTAAGACAAAACTACTATTCATATGGACATTTAACCACATACATAACTAACACTGTATATGAAATATCTTGCCTCAATTTTCTTAGTGTATTCTTTTCGGAGCTTCTGACATATATCGATAGTTGAACAACCAGGTTCCCAGATGTCCACATCCAAAGCAGCTGGATCACTTACAGATACAGTGGACAAATTTTCGTATGCTGTAGTGATGAAAAAAAAGATCGTCATACTTCATACATACATCATACTTTAGAGTGAAATATCCTTTTTAATAACAACGGGGCTGTTATTAAAAACAGATTAATTTTCCCAGGTAGATGGCTGAACCAGTTCTATTTTCATATCAATTTCTGTCTATTAAAAAGGAGACCTTCTAAATATTTTGCATATTTTTTTGAAACTTAATGGATATTACCATTTTGAAACTTTTATGGATATTACCTTCTTGGACTGAAACTAAGTTACACTATTGTTGAACTTTTCCAGAACTATAATCAACTTTTATTTCATAATTAACCTCTGTAAGTAACAGCTTCATCTGTTTTAAATAACTTTCTAGGCTGTAATTTTATTCTTCTGCTCCTTTTCTTTTCCTCCTCTTTGCTTGTTTCTACTTCATCAGAATGGCTTTCTGTATCACGCTGATATTTTCGTTTGAGAAATACATGTGAAGTTGGCCCTTAAATAAATGTGAAAAAGTTTCATCTTAGAATTATATGGAACAATGAGATCAGAAGATGAAAAGTTTGTTGGCCCTCTGGCTCAAAATTCTATAATTATACCATTAAACAAAAAAAGAGCACTGCATTTACAGAGGGCATGTTCTGATGATAATGACCACATGAATGTAATTTCAATGGAATACAGAACTCTTTTTGACTCATGCAAGACTTCTCTCTTATTAAAGAGATTCACTATCAACCCTACATTCCTGATAATACTATTATTGTCTCCCCCCCCCCCCCCCCCCCCCCCCCCGGCATCTGTGAGAATGCTTCTTGATCTACTACTTTTTGAAGAGAACAAGCACTCTTTACAGTAACTGCATTTTGGAGTCCAAGCTTCAGTTTTTGGAGGTTACTTAAAGCAGAGAAAAATATGAAAAAAAATTGAATGATATTGAAAAGATGTAAAGAGAAACATGGCACAACTCTTTGAATCTTCTGTGGTGAATAAATGCTCTTCTTAACCAAAACAGTCACACAGAAAGTCAAAGTTTTTGCCTTAAATTAAGTGTTTGTACCTGATTCATGTGCAGGGCCATAAGGTTCTTGACTCCAAGACTGTACTCCACTTCCACTGGACACAGATACTGAAGATAATTCCTAAAAGAAATAAACAATCATAGGAAAAAGACAAATAAGCAATAAGAACTAATGGCTACTTGCAATAGTACACAAACATTATTTCCCAACTGAGTCAATAGCACTTATTTCACCAGGAAAAAAAAGAATACAAGAAATGGGTTGAAGGTGTAGAGTAGTTCTGTTTAATTTGCCAATGCTACAATAGTTGTTACATTAAGTAATACATTATTGTACTGCACTTTCCTACCTCAAGAATTTTTCCATTCAAGTGTCACAATTATGAAATCTATAAAAGATATTTTTATCATTCACATTGAGAGTCAAGATGAAAAAAATACATATATTTTTAAGATATTTTTACAATTGCATAAGTTGGGATACAATTCTTTCTTTATATCCATATGATAAACATCTCCTTAAGTTATTTCAAATATTTAAAAATTAATGAGTAGTATTGTCTGGGACAAGTATTTTTCAAGGAAGTCACAAGTAAACATACCTAGTGCTTAACATTAAGTAAGGAAAATACATTTGATGAGATCTTAGGAAAATGTAAAGTATATAAAACACATGAAAAGCAGCAGCTTTTTTTTAAGGAGCACTGGATCTAGCAACATACCTCTCCTTTCTTTTTTATGACAGGTTTAGTACTGTCTTGTTTTCCTTCAATAGAAATTTTGTCTGAAAAACCATGTCTAAAACTTAAATTTTCATCAGCATCACATGTTTCAGATACAGATCCCTCTGTGTTTTTTCCACGGTATGTTTTACGTGGAGTTACTGAAGTTAAGTTGAGCTACACATTAACAAATAAAAAAAGCATTATTGAAATGAGATCTACAAAAGCATTAAGACATGTAACAGCTGAATGGAATAACTTAAGTTAAAATAACTGTAAAGTAACTTTAATATTCTTACCAAATATGAAGTAGTTAGAACTGGTGAGAAACTTTTCTTTCCAATTATTAACTTTTTAACAGTCACTTCAGGAGACTGGTTTAGATGCATATTTTGAGTATTCTTCTTTTGTAGACAGAGATTACTGGGAGAGATTCCTTTCTCAAAGTTTACTGTTTCCTTTTTTTCTGGTGTTGACTTCTGAAGACTAGGTGACCCTTCACTAGAAGTATGGTCTTGAGTAACACATCCCTCTGATATTCTCTCAGCACCTAGAGAACAATTTCTTAACTTTCAGCATGAATGAAAGAAAAAAAAAAAACCAACATGCTAAAGCCCCATACTGTTGACTGTCCTTAATCTAGGTGTTTACCAGTCTCAGCTGGGAGAAATTTTACTCCACTTATTGGTATAATTCTTGCCAAACTGTGCTTTTTGCATCCCCCACATTATTTTAGCTGTTTAGCAGATTAATTCTAACAGCCTACTTTCACTTACACAACTATAAAATGTTGATATCAAGCAAGTGTAAAAATCTATAAAAGAGTTAATGACATTAGCACGATTTCTTAAATTAAATAGCATACATACTGATTTAGGAGACCTCATTTTAAAGCCATGAAATAAATGTAAAATTGTAGTATTGTGTTAATCTTCATTTTAACTACCAACACTTGCTATGGTATTCCTATAAATTAAAATCAAAATGCATACATCTCATTGTCTCTAGAGATGCAGGACTCTCAGGTGAAGACATTTCAATTTCCTTTTGTTCTGTAGAGTTCTTTGATTTAATAAATGCTTTCTTTACACAGTTTGCTACTGTCTTTGGCTCCTCCAAATTCTGGAGATCCTTCTGATGATTACCATCTTTGTTTTTCTCATTCACACATTTCTATTAAAATAAGGAGTCAATATAAACATTACTTGTAAACATACAGATAGGTAAAAAGAGAATTATTTTTATGCACAGTTGAACAAACAAAAGATCCAAAAAGGAATATAATTAGGAAGGATATCAGCTGCTCTAATGTCAATATGCATTGAATTAGCATAATTCAGTAGCCAAATTTCTATTCTCACAAAGTTCTGAACAATTATGGAGAAATCCTGATGCTTCAGAATTCAACCAAGTTAACAGGCTTTTCCATGTATCTTGAAATGTGATGTTAAATGAATGAATTGGTTTTATTTAGCACTCATCACCACTTAATTAATCTCTATTTAGATTCTCAACAAATGTATGGACATAACCCCCTTTATCAATTCAGTATTTTCTACTGCATACAGAATTGGCATAGCATTATCAAAATCACATCATCTCAACGACAAATCTCAGGCTTACTAATATCTCTCATTTAAAGTATACACATTTTCAAAAAATTTTTTTGAGTTGTTAAAATAAAGGATACAGTAGCACTTCACAGCTGAATACATTTCATACACAGAAACTGACATGCTATTGTGACTATTTTGAATGTATTTCCTTAGCAGCTAACTACTCATAATTTAAAAATGACACAACTTGTTCATATTGGAAACTTAAGATTCAGGAGCATAAAATAAAAAGTAAACCAGAGTCTAGTTTGAAAAACAGAACACAAGTAGACTTTTTACACCGCAACTGTATACCTGTACTTTTGATTTCTCCCTCTTATAGGTATATGCTGAAAATTCACTTCCTGACTCTGAACTGGAAGGATCTTTGTAATTTTTTGGTTGCACTGCTCTTTGAGGTCGTTTTGGTCTGGTGGTTTGTTCCATCATTTCATCAATTACTGAACTTTGTTTTTTACTTTCAGTTAGCTTTGGAAGAATAAGAACATCTTCAATTCATATTAAAATAATAAATATGGAAGAGTAAACAGCAAGTAAGTTATTTTAATTACTTGAAATCCATTATTTCAATACAACTTTAACAAGAACTTCTGGGGAAGCTTGCTACTAGAATAAGGACAGTTACTACACCTATTCAATGCTCATTAATTAAATACTCAAAGATCTCTTCTGATTTGATTTACATGGACATCATCACTGGTACATACAAACAGCAGTATTTTCATGCTCACAATTTAAACTGAATGCACTTAAACAGCTTTAGGCTACTACCATTAAGGGGATTTAAATAATTGTAGTACAGTCTGACAGACCAAAAAGTGGTTTGAAGGAGGCAGGGTAACATTTGTTTATGTTTGTTTCTTTCAAAGCTGTGGTTTACAAGTACCTACAAAGAACTTATACTAACATACTCATAATCACTCATAATTTATTATACCCAAAGTTTTAATAAGCTCACAACATCTTCCAATTATTATTCTTCATTAATATGAAGCATTTTTCTTTTTAGTTTCAGTACATTGCCTATATTCAATTAAAGAGGCTATAATCTCAGAGTCAGTGATACGCAATTAAGCATATTACCCACATGAAAACCCTCAGCAAAAAGCTAATGACACATTCACTGGAGTAGATTATTATTATACAGTAAATAGGTATAATCAATAGTTAAGTAAAAAAACTTACAAAAGTATTGATGAACAGTAATAATTCTAACTCACAGCTTGTATTATGCCTGAAATACTTACTAAATACTACCTTAAAAAAACTATAGCACCTGAAAGCAGCTAACTTTATTTAGAAAGTAAATGTGCAGAAAGTGCACGTATTTATAAAGAATTATGTAAAAAGTTTCTGGAGTGAATATATATTTCAAGTCAGGTTGCAAATTTACATTTACCTTTTTCTTTTTTGCTGTTTTGCCTTTGGGCGTATCCATCCAGCAAGGGGATTCAGAGAACTTATCTGATGTTACAATACAGAAAAATAGAAAATCAGCACCATCATTAAATTCTCAACATTTAGAGTTTTAGCTGTTATATCACTGAATCAATTTTATCACTACAAAGATGGCTCAGTAAACTGCCTTCAGTGCACTAATGAAAAAAATAGAGTTTTTTTTCTTGAGAACAACCTTCTTGAGTCTTATTCTCCAATAATTTTACATATTAAAATACAGACTTTCTGGAAATTAACCTTTCTAAATGGTTAGGAGATCAAATTCAAGTAGTCTTTGTGCTTGGAAACAGGACAATAAAAACCAACTATATGTAAAAATAAAAGCCAGCACAAGCTGTACTCTAATGGACAAATATTGTTGCAGCATATTTAAGAAATGTTAAGAAGGATTCTTACTTTTGCCCTTTCTTTTTGATTTCTCTAAGTTTTTATTTCTACTGTAATCAATTATCTGTGGCTTAGATGGTGCTTTGGATTTTTGTAGCCAGCTGATGTCTGTCTTGCTGTCATCTCCTCTGTATTCTGTGTCTGTGTCACTGAAAAGATGCTTTTTGCTTTGATTGTATCTAGTCTGTAAAAAAAAAGTTCTTCTGTGTTGTTCATTTACTTTTATAATATATCTTTCACTTTCATCACTGCTATTTAAATATAGAAAGACAAGGTAAGATGATCCACAAAAAATCTGAACCTTACTTTTTTTCCTGCTTTCATTTCAGAGCTAGTTTTACTTTCACCTGGGTTCCTTGATTTAAAAAAAGAAAAAACACCCTTAAACAACAAATCAACATTTTAAAATACCAAATCTTTCAGCTATCCATATGATGTACAGCTTAAGGTTTCAAATAGCTGTACTAAGTTTTGATTTGAAATTCATTTTAGAAAAACCTGTTTACTGTAAGCCCTAAAGCATGCATGTATTTGCTAAAGATCAGTAACAGCACACCTAGCAATATGTCCCTTTGCAAGCTAGACGTTAACAAAAAGCTACCCCACTGCAGGAGGTTAAAATCCCTTCAGTATTCCACTAAGAAAATTGTGAAGAGCATTTCCTTCATGAAACACAATCTTTATTTTTACCATTTATGTAGAAGTTTTCCAAAGGAAAATCATAACACAACCTAGGAGATGACAGCAACTATGTTTATTGCATGAAAAAAATAGCAGTTCAGATATACACATTCCCCTAGATTGTCATAATGGAATGGTAGGGAATGTAGACAGTACTATACTTGCTTATAATCAAAGGACAAAGATGCAATATGACATCCCTACTCTTTTTTGTTTGGATCTGTATGAGTGTTTGCTTCCGAAACACAGCAGTCTTGGATCTAGAAAAATGTAAATAAATGAGAAACAAATTAAAATTTTTCTTCATTATTCTGTTTAAACAAAATGAAACAGGCCATCAGATAACGCACTTAAGGGCTTTCTAGCTCAGTTTTTATACTTGGCAATCAAATTCCAACTTAATTTCCATCTTGGAAATTATTTAAAAGCAGATAATTGAAACCAACTGGAACTGATTGAAGCTTTTATGTTTTCAAACAATTCATTAGTTTCCAACCACTTTTTTCCATTACTGTCACCTATTCAGCAGACTCTGCTTAACAACAAGAGGCAAAACATAGTCTTTCATTCGCCTTTACCTTTTCTTTTTACTCAATCAGCTGGGCAAAGCTAGCTTTACAAGCTAGGAAATTGAAAAGAAGGCAATAATGTTTTTAGGATAACAGATACATAATACTCCCAACAAACTGTTTCATTCTTAGTTCAGGAAAACCCTTTAAGTGGCCAGAACTGTAAGATAGCATAAACCATCATGCATTTGAAAGTGATGGAGGTATATGAATATAAAAACCAAGATATGGCAAAGCTATTTTTCCCCACTCCTTTCAGTGACACTAATCTGAGTTTTTAACTGTGGATGATACTTTCAGTAGACATAACTTTAATTTGATGAAGCTACTTTACATTCTATTAATTACATAAACATTTCAGTTATATTCTTACTCCAACTTTTATTGTAGGCTCATTAAACACACTGACGTTGAAGTTGTAGACATCATACCTGTCAAACAGATGCAGAAATCAGTTTTGAGTGAATAAATGATTATTTTTCAAAGTTGAATAAGGGTAACTGAAAATTTTGTTTGAAAATGTGATAACTACTTACACACTTTGATCAGCAGCCGTATCAAGACAAGTAGTAGCTTTCAAATTTCTATTCTGAATATTTTCCTAAATATAAATTACAAGTTACTCATCTATCAAATTTGGACCATACATGCTGTCACCTCAAAAAAAAGTTTTCAGCATGAATTTATAGAAAAATAAAAGAAGTTTCTCAGATTTGCACTTGATTAGCAATAATAGAATATGCCAAAACTGGAAAAAAGCTAATAAAAGCTAAATCATTTAAGAACTTATTCTATAGGGATGCTAAGAAAGCCTTGTGTTGTTTTCCCACCATACATAGGACTAGTTTTTGTATCCTGGCTATATTTCATCTGAGTATTCTATAGTCTCATTCAGTCCAGCTTGGCTGTTATAATATTTTAATTCTAAAAATTTAGCATTGTTACATTCAAAGGAGTCCATATTAATCAGAAGTAAACAGATTCAATTATAGAATATGTAAGCAGAAATTAATTTGGGTTTCTCTACCTAACTGCTCCCATAAAAATATTATTCCAGGTAACATAAACCTGTACATAAAGTATGTCAACTATAAACAATCAATGCATAATTAACATTCATCAATAATTTTGAACTTCTGGCTCACATCTACCAGCTGTCCTCATATCTGAACACATATCCAATAAGAAAAGAATCAAAGAGAAGCAGAAGCTTAAGTTACCTTATTGCCACTGAAACAGGATTTATTTGGACATGATCTAAAAAAAAACAAACAACAAAAAACCAACCAAACAGAAACCACCAAAAACCCAACAGTATGTTTTATTAAATGCTAGCTGGAATATCTACATTAAAGTACTGCTTATATAAATAAGAGCCTCACACAACAAATTTAATACAACAAATACAAGAAATTTAAAGGTATTACATAATACAAAAACAAGTGACTAAAAAGAAATTAGGTCCCACTCATCTCTTTTGTGCTGTAGAAAAATTCCAGATCAGGAAGCTATATTACAGGGTCTGCACATCTAACAGGCAGTTATTTCAGGAGATGACAACTAGGATCTTCGTAACATTGAAGTTTTGAACCCTGAATAGACACCCATTAACTATCCCAGCTAAATTTTCTCCAGAGAAAAGTTCTGTGAACGAATGAGTGAAAGAACACTCTATTTCCATTATTTCAATTACTGCAACTAATTTCCTCTTATCCTTTAGTACAAGGTGGTTTATCAGAAGTGAACAAGCCATATAAAAGCCAGATGTGCCATAACTGTAGATAGTGGAGTAGCTTGCATGTGTAACGCTGTGCAGAAAAACATAAGTAAATTGTTTACTTCATACCTGTTGAAAACCGAAGAGTCTCTTGTTTTGCTCTTTTCATCTTTATATCTGTCACTGATTTTACTAATTAGTGATTTTGTTGCATCTGAGATTTCTTTAGATTTTATTTTCTGAAATAGTAGAGTTTAATACTCAACTTTGAACCCATTCAGCAGAAAGAAAAGGCTGAAACAGCTACTGGTCCTAACAATCACCTAAACCTAATTAAACAGTTTTCTAGATGTACTAAATCACATTCCTCTGAAAATCACTTTCCTTACATGAGTCTGGCAGATATTTTGTTTTGAATGTTTTAACATACTGTAATATTTAGAAGTGATGGATGAGATGTGTATGAGCAGTACAAGCCAGACCATATTTAAGAATTATTAATAAAAAGCACAATTAAAAGATATATTCAGACTACGGTGATCTTAAACAGGTGAAGCTGAAAAAGTAAACTGTTCACCTGACATTATTTAATTCACTCTGTATTAGTTGAAAAAAATCAATGTAAAATAAGTTTGTGAGTAAATGAAAGTATAATAAATTTTGAAATACTGGCAGTGCAACAATTCCCCCAATTACAAGTTGAAAAAATGAAGGAAAGAAACTCTCACCATTTTTGACTTTTCATGATCTGCAGTCTCCTTTCTTGAGAGAACATCAGCTTCCTGTTTAGTATTGTTGCGTTTTGTAAAATCAGAATGCAAAGATGTTTCTGGCACTTTATCAGAAAGACATGTTTTAAATGTTTCAGTAGTAATTAAAATATTTTTCCATTCTGTATTTAACTGCTTCTCTTCCAAGTTATTAATACACTTTAACTCACCATTCAGTACTTTGCAGTTTTCTTCCCTTGTGATTCCATTTCTTTGTTGTTTTCTTTTATTTATTTGTTTATCTGGAGAAGCACTTCCAAAAACCGAACAAAAAGCTTTATGTTTCATAGCTCTTTCACTAAGAATAGGAGCTAAATCAGAAAGAAAGCACAGCTATAGGTTAAAATCTCATCTAAAACATCATTTTTGAACTAACACTTAAGAAAATACAAACACAACCTGTATGAGATGCTTGTTCTGATGACAGATTTAGCTTTTGTCTGTCACCAGTTGCTATATTCTTCTCAGGGACAGAACACATTCTTTTTTTCCTCGTTCCTTTTTTATCAGAAGAACTTTTCAAATGACCAGGCAGTCTAATAAAAATGAAACAATTGTGTTATCAGTGAATTGCAGGAAGTGAGGCTGAACTACAATAAACATGCATCACAACATAGGGAAACGGAGCTAGCTTTTAGATTATCAATGCATTTTACACTGGTATATAAGCCTGCTACTATTGTTCAATTAATCAAATGCTTTGTAAAATGACAAAACTTCACAAATTATGTATACAAAAAGGCAGTTTCAAAGAGGTAGTTTCAGTATCCTATGGCCAGCACTAAAACTGAACAAGATAACACTGTGATGCACCTACAGAGGTACAATTAGAATGTGTTTACTACCTTTTATGGCACAGCTCAGTGTCATTTTTACTTTACTTTCTGTTGTAATCTGAAATAATTATTCTCCTTATTAACATTGAACATTAAACTACTACTCTGATTTTGTTAATGACCACTATTTTCAAAATAATCAGACTTTAATTATAAAGTTAAAAACAACAGATGAACCTTTTCATGAACTAGTCACTGAGTCACAAACCAGCAGTGACTTGGTATTCTTTTTCAGTACTTACAGATGTTTGTTGCTTCTCCCTGCTTGCTGGGAATCAGGAACGATATCTAACGCATCGTCTAAATAAAATATTAATTTGTTATCAATCATTATTACAAAAGGAATGTAGCAGATTAAAAAAAATAAAATAAGGACAAGTAACTCTCGTAAAATTACTTGCCTAAAGTTTGCTTTTCAGTGGTTCCATTTTCTGCTTCTGGTAAAAATTTTAAAATTTCTTCAGGACACACTCCCTACAGTAGAACAACATGCAAAATAAAACAGTTACATAAAATCACAAACAAAAAGGCATCTCAAATTTATCACTTCTTGAATAAAATATTAAGTCATTAATTCTTTTCATTGAAGTACTGGTTCCAATACCTTTTCTGGTAGTTCTGCCTCTTCTCTGATTTTCGATTTCCTGGTTTTCTGCTCTGTTTCACAAAATTCATTATCTGATGTACACCTTTGCCCATTCTAGAGAGTACAATAAATAACAGTGACCATTACAATCCATGAAAACAAAACAGATTTTACTACTAAGTAATGCTCGAAGTATTCAAAATGATACTTTCAATATAATGAAGTCTTCTTCTGAAGTATGGCTATATAAAATGCTTCAGAATCCTGTAATCAGGGATTTGACCTGAATCTGATCCAAGAACCACTTTGTTTTCTGTAAGTTATTTACTGATTGCAGAACACTAGCTCTTCCAAGCACAAATTAGGAACAAAGTAGAACACATGTTATTCTATATAAAAGACTTAGCTAAAGATGACATACATACTTCAGTAAGCTCCTGATATAAATTATTAGTTCTGGTTCCATTTACTGCATTACTGTTAGACCTTTCAGCAGAGCTCATCATTTTCAATGGTAACTTACATCGTCCTTTGGAAGGAGTGGCTGAAAGCAAATGGAAGATGTGTTATAATTCTAGACCAATATGAAGAGCATTGCCCATGATCTCTTTTATTCCATAAACTTTAAAAGAGTGACTAGTATTTGTATAAACTCAGTACACATCTTTAATAATTCTACTGATTTCAATTAAGTCACACAGAGGTTAATGAGCCAATATACAATGGATGTCTGGAAGGAAGCAATGTTTTACATCCATGCTCTGGAAGAAAATATTTGGTCATGCATGTAGATATTCTACAGTAAAACACATTTTACTGAAACAGATAGTGTAGTAAGTTCCAAAAAAAAAAAAAAAAAAAAAAGTACAGAATTTCTCTCTGTTTTGTTCCATCCTAATTTGAAAATCCTTCAATTTCTAGCCTGTTACTCTTTATTTGCGTGATAAAGGGATATACACAGATAATGGTGTGATGCATTTGAGACCATAAAACAGAAAATTAGTCATGTGCTTGGCCACTAGTTTCATCTGCAGCCTCTGCTGGACTTACAAGTCACTTGCATTTAGAAAGTGCTAAGTGTATTACAGTAGCACTGCTAGGAAGAAACAATGACTCCAATTTGTTACAAAGAAAAGTATCCTCCTTATATATATTTTTTTTTTAAATAAGAAACAGCTTTTGAAGTAAGCATCTGTAGCACTAGACCTGCAATTCAAATCTGCAGTTGATTCCACCTTATTCACTAGAAACATAATCAACTCCCAAAGAAACAGTTTCTACAAAACTGTCACAATGAACATCACATGCTTGCAAACTGTTTTGTCTAAAACATTCCAGTAAAATGCAGGTGGTGGATAGACAAATGGGAGAAACCTGATTTCCCACTTCGACTGCTATAAAAGCACTTACTGCCAAGAATTCTTTAAACCAAGGGTGAATGGCAGTCGTGAGAAAAGAAACAAAAAATCTCCCAAGTTTTAGTTCTACTCTATTGTTTACTAATTCACCTCACAAGATGACTTTAGCTTGCTCCAGCACAAACAACTTACTGTCAGTGTAATACAAGAAATGGGTAGCTTTCAGCTGTTTGGAATGCTACTCTGTCTGCATCATGTCTATGGAACAGTATAGCAGGTGGCCTACTTTAAAAATTTCAAGCTTAAAGCATCTGCTGGAGAGATTTTATGAAGTTTACATTACTCCTTTCCAGCCCTGCAATAGATCACATTTCATTCCTATACCTTATTATTCTCAATTAGCCACTTCAAAGACTACAACTTATTTCTATCCTGAAAGTACCTGTAAACTTACACGTACTAAGAAATACCAGTGGACTCCGTGTGGAAAATCTTGCAGTTGCAGGAATAAGCACTGATGCTTCAGACACTTTCCTTTTACAAGATGTGGTTATCTTGAGGCACAGAAAAACACTTGATCATTATACACAGACTTAAGGGTGACAACATAAGATTTTAGAAACCTATTTCCAAGAGACTTCTAACACTTTGTTATTGAAACACCAGCTGCTCTTGCTATACTCGCCGATGTAACAGCTGATTTTTATGCAATTCTCACTATGAGAAAGTTTACCATAACACTTGATTATTTAACTCTGGATTTTAACTGAGAACACCATTATTATTTTTCTAATTTAACTCAACAAAGCAAGGCCAAATTTCTTTGTTAACAATCAAAGGAACTAAGATTACTTTCAGGAGTTTCTACAGGAACAGGTTTACTGAAAACAACTCCCAGCAACACATGCATTGCATGACTACTGCACGATGAAGAAACAAGAGCATTACTTAATCTTTTTCTCCTACCCCTGTGATATCTGCAGTTAGCTCTGGTAGAATCACAATGCATTTAGCATTTCATGACTGTAAAGTGATTGTGTGGTAAAAGGCTTCACAATTCCGCTCCTCCCAGTTTAAACAGAGAATAAGCAATGAATAGCAGCAGTCCCAACAAATTGTGGTTTTGTTAATGAAGATACAGGATACATCCTGACAGCCACACCTGAACCTTTCTGTAAATCTTGTTCTCTGTGAATACCAAGCCTATAAGGACTTTCCTCTAATTTACAGCTATTATTAGAGCTGATAATTAATGTTTCCAGAACTTCTGCATATCATAAGGTATCTAAACATGCTTTAAAATCATTTCTATCTAATTAGAATTCTATCAGGACAATGGTCTATTAAAATATGCAAACATTATTGTTCTGTTATGTATTTTGAAACAGTATCAATACATTTTGACAAACTTTTTCAAAGAAGGATTTACATAGCTTACTGCAAAGTTATAAGAATATCAAAATCTGGATTATACTCCTGTTGCAGTAGGCAGAGACAACTCCAATTTTAATAAACATTTACATTTAATTGTACTTTTGATGTACTCTTTTCTGCTTTGATACTCCAACTTACCTTGTAGGAACCATCTTTGCATTTATCTTGGTTCTTTTTATCCAAAGACCTCTGACTTCCAGGAAGTTGCTGTGTTTTGTTCTTACTGAATTTGTCATCTTCATATTTTTCTTCCAAACATGGTGACAACTGACTTTCTGGCACCAGAACCTATACGTGCATGTGTGTGAACATGCTTACATACAGAAATGAATAAAATTCTAAATATATACATATACAAATATACATAAATTCAACATACTGAAACATGTTATATTTGTACATACAAACGCACACACATTCAGATGAACTTCTTTACATTGAGTAGCCAATTAGTATAGAAACTGTAAGTTCTAGAGCTATCTTTGTTCACTGGCATTTAAAACATCCTTGTTTGTACAGTCAGTCATCATTAGTTAGATAATCAGACTAACCATTAAAAAAAGCAAGAAAACAACGATTTCAGCATACCTGTGATCCACTTTCATCAAAGATGATATGCACAGTTGTTTTAGCAACTGACATAGACTGCTTCTTACTAAATTCCTACAAAGGGAGTAACTGTCTAAGTAAGGAAAACATTTTGCTCACTTCTTTTTAAACCAGAAACAAAAAAGAAAATATTTAGGTCAGAGATCAGAAGTGCCTGAAATTACATAGGTTAGAGGGGAAAATACAGTCTGCAAGCTCACAGCTGTTCCAGTCCTACTGAGTTTCTCAATTAGGAAGAGTGCAGGCAGGGCAAAGTAGTTTGCACCAAGCAGTAAAGAAGTAAGATATGTCTGGCAAACAATTTTTGACTGAGGCAATTCCTGAAGGGGTAAGCATACTGCAAACTGAACTGAATGAGACATTCTGATAGACTGCTATTTCCCATGTTACTGCAAAGTCATAAGTATTATTAACATGATTTTGCATATAAGAAAAAAAAAAAAAAAGTGATCCCACTGCAGCCTGTCTGTTTTTGTAACAATTATTTTTAAATTTATTACATAACTGCACTGAAAACAACATGTTGCAAAAGAATCAACATTCTTATTAACACTGAGACTAAAGAAACTCCATAAGAAGAAATCAATAAAATAATCAGTTATAACAACATGGCGATAAGACATCATTTTAAATTAAATCAAAAACATATGAAAGGTGTTTGCATCTTACCTTACATTTATTTATCCCATAAATCTTTCTGGCTACATCTTCGATTTCCAAGATAGAATCAAAATATAAAAAAAATTTCTCTCCTTCTTGATTACCCACATTCATTGGGCTTTTTAGATCTATTGTTAATAATTTCTTTGAATCTTTCTCTGGACAAAAGCAAAATTACAGATTTTTTTTCATTACATTTAAGTAGCTACTTTTAAGCAGTAAATACTTGATAATTGTGTGCATCAGTTCAGCTATTGAAATGCACCTTTTATTAATTCCACTTATTCTACTTTATTACTGAAGTAATTTAAGATTCAATCATGTAAAAATATTTATATATTAACCCATAGCATTTTCTCTGAAGGTTACCCATCATAGCTGCAGACCAATTATAGGTTTTTACAAAACTAATCTAAGATATTTGAAAGGAAGTTGATTAAAAGTCACTATCTGGTGTTTTATTTTGCATTGAAATAAGATATTACTTTAAAATTCTTTAAATTGCACCTGCATGCTTAAACTACTAACATGATTGCAGTGCAGTTTGATAAAAAAAAATGCACCTACACTGTTTTAGATGGGAACTTTGCTTTGATCAGTTTGAAAATCCCCTTTAGGGCATAACAAAACATCAGATTCATTACTGCCAATACCTTCAAGGTTGTATAGGTCTACCTCTTCCTCTGGTATAATGACTGTTTCCCATTGCTGATCCTCATGTGAAAAATACACAATTTTGAAGATAAATATAATATTAGAGATAAATTAAGGATGTTGATTAGAATGCATTCCAGTGAAAACAAGTTCTCAATTGTCAACAACCTCTGTTACAATGAATATATTCTTAATTTATAACTGAAAACATCCCTGAAGAGCTTTGGTAGAAATACTCATCTAAAAAGTTGAGTTATCTACAAATACTACAATTTCCACATGATTCTACGATTCCAGTTTCGTAAACAGTTTCTTGTTCACAGGTGCAATTATATAATGAATTGTTTGCAAACAGCATTAAAAAGTCATTACTCTGAAATTCTTTGATCTACATGCATGAAAAAAGAATAACGACACCAATTTCTACTAGCAATATTCACCTATTTCTGCACCAAATCTCTATTTTTTTTTTGTCTCCACATTGTAGATGCATATAACATATTTGATATACTTGAGAAAGCATGCATCTACTTCTTAAGAAGAATCAATATGACAGACAAAACTTAGCTTACTGCATTATCTGCTGCCACGTAGAAAGATATACTTCTACTACCAACATTGAAATCAATCCAAAATTCTTCAAGATTTTCATCCAACGGGAGCTGTAGCTGAAATTAAAAATTAAGACAGAAGAGCAAGAGCTAAGAATGAGAGTTTATACCAGCTATTAGGCTAATTAGGCTTTGTGTCACAGGTTGACAAACTTCAACTACTTCTACAAATGTATATGTCTGACAAATAATTTTATTTAAACCCTGATTTCTGAACTAAAAGGCAAAGAAATACCTCACCTGCACAAATAAAAATCTGCAGATATATGATTAAGCCCGCAATTTACCTCATATTTATCAAGAGCTGCTGATAAACACGGATATGTAAAAACCCTGTAAGAAAAGGATATTTTGTCAAAGGCTGAAACACTATAAATTTGGCATATCTGAGCACAGCAACTGTATTGTTTTCAGCACAAAATTTATGTGCTTTACAGACTTTGGGATTGCAGGACTGAAAAGAACAGTCACTTCCTGGCACTTCTTCCCCAAAGGAGATGATGCAAATCCTCAATGAGCAAAGAGTGGTCTTAGATCTCCTTTCCATGTTCATATTTACTGATATTTTAGGAATGGTCTTATAATAGGTATTCAAAACTGAATATGGAGCTGCTATAGGGACATACTAGACAATATCTTCTACATTATCGTGACATAAAATATACAGAAGATGTGATCATATAGAAAGGAAAAAAGAGTTTGTATTTTCTCCTTTTTTAAATGTTCTATTTCTCTAACAGATATCTTCATTGATTATTAGCTCAGCACAAACATCCCAATCGAAGGAATATGTACATCAACAGATTGCTATTATGATACATTTAATGAATGAACAAGTTAACAAAGCATATTTTTTTTTATTGTTTAAGAATCTTTACTTAGACAACAGTTTCTTCAATTTGTTACATTATATTTTTTTTCCCCCAAGTATAGAAATTACATAAAATTAACATTTGATAGAGATGATAATATCTATGATAACATGCCAGAAGACAGAGCTTCTTTATTATTTAATGTTTATTAAAAAAACTGAATTCTGCACAGTTCCTTGCCTTTGCGCCACAGTAAGATTAGTCTTATTTGCTTGTATTGCTTTGTTCAGTCCACCAAAAGCAGTTTCTGTGCCAAAAACATACTAGCTTTAAAAAAAAAGTTTTACCTTCTTTTATCTCCAAGCATGCCATTCACCTGGTTAAGAAATTTTCTGCAATCCTATTAAAACAGAAAGATTTCCCATATAAGTATAAAATGAAAATCTATTGCGATGGAAATATTCTTAATATGACTTACTGTTTCAAACTCAGAATCTTTAATTCCTTTAAATGCATTGGACACGAACTCCATGGAAAACCATTGGCATGCCAGTTCTCTTCTTTGTTTCTCTGGTATCATTCTGCATAAAGCTTCTGTGATGGCTACTTGCAGGTCATAGTCTACAGCACAATACATTTTACAGGAATAGTAGTTTTAAGAATACTACTGATTTTAAAAAAATAATTATATAAGAACCTATTACCAGCAGGGTCAAACTTTTCATATTACATATCACAGTATACCCAAGTATGTAATCCATAAAGGAAATATAGAATTAAGGGAATAAGGATGACTGAACAACTGATGATTCAAAATGAGACTTCAACTAAACTCTCAAGGAGGTCAAAGCAATGCTACACATATAAGCTAAGGTAAGAAACTTTCAGCTTTTGCTTGAATCAGAGAGAAACCAAAGTGATCCTTGACAAAAATTAGACTAATATTAAATGTGCTGAACTGTTCTCAGAGACTTACTACTTTCTAATCTTTTGCTGTTTTAAAATTCACTTGCAAGAGAAGAGGACTGAAAAGTTCACAGTTAGCCTGATACTGCATACATCTGAAACATTCCTGTTTGCAGGGAGAGTATTCTTGTAATATTTTTATTCTTCAGAGGACCATTACTGCAACATTCTGCAGCTGCTAAGGTATTCCCTGGATTTTTAAATGGGACTACATGTAATTTTTAATATCAATAATAAAATGTTTATTAGCCATGCTCACCTCCAGCATCCAAAATTCTCCTACCCATGTCACTCCTGAAAAAGTAAGCAGCGTTTCATCAAATTATGACAGCAAAACAAAGCAAAGAAAAAAAGTTTACTTAATTACAACTTTTCAACATACGAGATGAAAATCTGATTCAATCAAATTATTAAGACTCCAGAGGAGCAGGTCTTTCATTTGCAAAGAGCATACATCTGGGGAATCAAACCACCAGGTACACGTCTTTTTTTTTTTTTAAATGCTATAAAAAGTTTTCCAAACATGCAAATAGTCTGTCCTTCCAGTGAGTGATTCACACAGCCCTATAACTGACTATGAATTTAACTGTTTAAAAACTACAAGGATTAAATAAAGCCTAACTCAGATTGAGTTGGAGGCAGATTTACGCTTGTAAGGGGGAATACCCTATGAGAATATCTGCCACTGACACTACCACAGGCAACATAACAGCAAATGCAAAATGCAAAAATGAGCTAAACATGGACTATCATGCCTTATAAAAAGTCTTATTAAGAAAATATCTTTGCAGATATGCAAATAATTTAATGATTTAAAAAGATCATTTACATGACAAGCAAAATTTCCTTTGTAGAAAATATCTTTTTCCTGGCATCTCGAGGCATGCTGTCAAGCATTAAATTAAGTTTTCTTACTACCTGAGTGGGAAAAAAAGGATTCGAATTAAACATAAAGTAAGTTAATGAAGTTTAAGTTATTCTGTACCTGTATTCAGGATCTATTCAATATATCCTGTACCACTGATCAAAATAACATGCTTAAGTAATTGAAAAACAAGAAAATTTTTTGGCCTTCAATGGCATTTATGTTTCTTATTTGCAGGTGTAAATATAGCACCGAACTTTCAGAGAGAGACTGCTGTCTGAAGCTGATAGCTAAGCTAAATTATACCTCAAATTTGCTTGCAAACGCCCTTGCTTTGGAGATGTAGCCTTTAGAGAAGACTACAGGGAAGGGGAAAAAAAAAAGAAAAAAGAAAAAAGAAAAAAAGAAAAAAGCCAAAATAAAACACAAGAAAACACAAGAAAGAAACATAGAACCCCAAACTCTTTTCTTTAAAGAGAAAGGAAAACCTTGAAAACATCATGTTAGTAAATAAAATAGGAGAAATTTGGAGTATACTAGAAGGTAGACATCTCCTGCAAGTATCTAAAGAATTTCTAGCAACTGTAATAGAGCATTTTATCTCCTATGCCTCTTTACAGCTTTCTCAACAGAATCGTCCTACCACTGTTTTCCAATTTACTGCCCAAAGCAAAAATGAATGGTTAGTAGCACAAATGCCAACCAGCATCCCCAGAGAAATATTAAATCGTCCTTCTGATACTACTACACCACAACATTACTTGTTTGTGGCATTTGTACAGTTATCTTTGCAAAGTCTGTTTAAATACTAATGAGAAAAATGCTGCTTAGAAAAAAAGAAGTGTTTACCTCTTGTTGGACATAAATATTAATTCTTACATCAGTTATGATGGTACATGTTCTCAAAACAAAGTTTTCTAGCATTTCCATTTTACCTAATGAGCAGAGAGAAAAAGAAAAAAAAACATTAAAAATTAGCAAAAATTCCAGCATTTGGGAGAAGATTTTTATTTGCAGGTGTAAACATAGCATTAGTTCAGAAATAAAATACAGCATGCCTTCTTTTCTATACAAAATTACTGGTATTTAAAAATAAGCATCTTGTAGTCAAGATGCAGTACAGAACAGTACTTCCATTTACAGTAAATATCATAAAAATCTGTATGATGTTTCTATTCCTGTGTACCGCGTTCTAACTGTGGAAATCCCTTGTACAAGAAGATCATTAATTTTTAAAACATATTCCAATCAATTGCACATGTCACTTCAGAGAGCTCTGGGATTGTGTCTTCCCAAAACCAAGGAAAATGGGCCCTTTGACATTTTTACAGTGACAGCAAAATACTCCATACGTTCTACCATTCGTGCTACTTTAGTGAAAGGTAAGAGCAGTGCAATATTCACAATAGCCATCCAAAGAGGAGGACAACTGTGGAGCTGTGGCAGTTGTTTGGTAACACTGCCCTCTTAATGAAAACCTCTTAGTTGCCATCACTGAGGAGAAGAAACTTTCTTGCTTTTCTATTGCTGATATTGTCAAGTTACAAAGAAAACTTGTCAATACACAAACCTCAAACAATAAAAGATTACAACTGTCACTCAGGCTTTTTTTCCACATAAAAATGCAATTCACAATCAAGCTGCCTTTCTCACGAGCACAGGAAAAGCACACAGCACAGCCCTCTCGAGGACAAGTCCTCGATGTTTACTGGCTGTAGAACACATCTGTTTATTTACATTAATCACAAAACTTTATAACTACCCTTATTATTCACACAGAACTGCTCCCAGAACCACCTTGTGTTCAAATGGTTCCACAAGTAGTTATTTTAACACTGATAACTTCTGAAGCGCTCTGAAAGAGATATTTTAACTATGATATCTAGAACAGAATTCCTTCAAGCTCACCTTCAGGTCTGCTGTCATATACAATCTACAATAAAAAAAAGAAGGTACTGTAAATATTACAGCATAAAATTCAGATAATGTACCCAAAGCAGGCAAATAAAAAGCATTTAAGACTTTACAATTATTTCACCCTTAAATCCTTAATGAGGAACACAGCAGACATTTTCTAATGTTAAGTCTAGTATCCTTAAATATTTTAGTAAATGTATTCAAATTACTTCCTCTATTACAACTTTTTTATGTAGATATTTTTATTAAAAACTCCCAGATCTTATAAACTGTGGGCCCTGGATGATGGATTAGCATACAACTAACTTGGGTAATAAAAAATAAACCAGAGATGTAATATTTTTGTTCACTGATTTTTTTTTTTTAAATGATGCTAACAACCATGAATGCAGACAAACTATCCGAAGAGACTTGTAATCTGTCTCAGAAATCATTATAACATTAGCATTAGAGGGATACAAAATAGAAAAATGCTTGAAAGCCTTTTTGTTGCCAAACTACTAACAACTCTTTTCACAAACAATACATTTAATCATCAACATATTTTTTACCAGTAGTACGTTGAAGAAATCTTCAGCCAGACTTGTAACAACTTTGTTCTTTTCATTTCCTCTGAGAATCAAAATTCCTTTTAACTTTTCATACCAATTAACCATGTAAGAGAAAAATAAAAGCAAACCTATGTTAAAAGCATAAAAAGAACAAGATTGTATTATACTTCAGAAAAAATATACACTGACTATACAAAGATTAAAATAACAGCAAAAACATTACCAGCTTCCTGAGCACATTTCAGTGCAAACCATGTTGTTTAAGCTTAAAGCCTTTAATCGGAGTAATGCTTGTTGTGAAATAGTAAGAAATCCTTAACTCAAAAGGCAATTAAAGAATAAACTGAATACTAAGTTGTTCAGTGCTGAAGCATTACTCACATATACTTCACTCATATTTTTCCACATGCTTTATGGTTATACTTATCTTTCCAATAAGGCCACATTTTATCATTGCTGGGAGTCCATTGTCACCTGCTATGCTGATTTTTTCCCCACATTTCCAAAGGGAATTTAGTAAAGTTGAAACGTTTTTGATTTCTTGTTTGTCAAATTCCTGAAATCAACATTGGAACACCAGCTTCAGTTTATACTTCCAGAAAATCTTACATTTAATTAAACATCTCTTCGTATTCTCAAGAACTGAGAGGTTTCAGTCTTAAATTTTATTTCAGTTTTCCAAATCAACTGCTGGTACAAATGAAAAAAGTATTTTTCAGACAAGCACAAATTATTCTGATGTAACAATGAGATCACCTGACACAGAAGCTTGTCTAACTTGTTGACAAACTGTTTGCTGCATTTGTAAGAGATATTTTCACAGTCTTCTCTTTCCAGGTACTGTTCTAACAATTCAAATTTTTTTTTCCTTGTAACTTCATCAATTATCTTTTCAAACTGCTAGAATAAAAGAAGCACACAGTGATACATTTCTGTCTTATACTGATTTTATAATGCTTAATCTTTATTTTTATGTTGTCATGTTCGATTCTCAGCAAATATGCTGAATCACAAAATCATGAAACGTAAAAAGGTTCTGAGGTACAGAACACCATGTCTAATACGTTAATCACACAAATACTTATCCACCTTTTGCCAGTTTTCCTTAACTGGATGCTTTTTTCTTTCCTTGTATCACCAGTAAGCACTTACACAAGTACTTACTATGTTCTTACACTCTCCTCTGCACTTAATACTGCATTTTTAAGTTACATATTAGTGACTTTAAAAGCTATCAACGTATGTCATAACTTCCTTTATTATTATGCCTCTCTATTCTTTCTAAAGCTAGATTAAAGGTAGGTTTAAACATTTCAGTCTTAAATACCATCCCAACCACATTAAGTACAACAAATGCATATTAATTATTTGTATCAATAGCACCTTTCAGTTCCTTTCACTTTCTGACCAGCTGCTTAGAAGTAACATATAGCAATGGAAAATTTCTTCTGAACACATTGTTTGCTGTACAAATTGTATTTCTAGTTAAACATCAGTAGAGGCACATGAAGCTAGTAATTAAAACAATTCATACTATATTTCAGTCCATACGCACATACCTGCATCTCCCTCCTGGCTGCCATTTTGACAACTGATGAGCTACATGAGAAGAGAACAATTATCACTTGAGTGAGACACAATTCACTGATACAAACTTCCAATAGATTTTGCAAACACTGCATAATTATTTACTTATAACACCAATTCCAATGATTAGCTTTGACAAAATTGGGATAGGAGTTCTGCAGTGGATTCTCAATTCACCTGAGCCAAGAAGAGCAGAAGATGGCAGGCTGTCCTGCCAGCACAGGTTGTTCAGCATATGCAAGTCAACAGCAGGACTACAGAAAGGCCTCATTATAAAACAGAAAATGAGATTATTTAAGAAAGATATGGTAATGCACGTGGTGAAGAGTCCTAATTATACAGAAAATGGTGAGTGCTGAGATGCCTGATAGCACCAAGATCTTGAAATTACAGATTTCTGAAAATGTTAACTTAAAACTCAAGAGCAGACAAAAGTAATTGCATTAGAGTTAACCCACAGCGAAACATTCCTGTGCTGTGAATGTTAACATGTCTCTACTGATGTAGCACAGAGTGCTTTGGCCTCCCCACTCCAGAAATCACATGGAACTAGACATGGGAAAACAGCAATTAAAAACAGATAATGACTTCTGCGTAAGAATCGACTGGGAGCACCCAACAGACGTTTTTGTACTCCTGAGTAACACAGAAATAACAAACGCAGGGTGATTTATTTTTAAGTTTTCCAGTACACGGATGGAACTGCCTACCACTGAGGTCTTTACTACCACCTCACAATTCTCTCATCTCCTGTCTAGCCAGAGAATTCGATATAACCACCACTCCAGGTGCTTCTTTCTCGATGTACCAGGGACACCTCCACAACTCGAACACCTGCAGCTACTGGCACATCCTCAGAGCCTCGTTAGTGAGAAAAGAACGCCCCGCAGCACCACCAAGTAGCAGCGAAGCCCCCAACATGGCGGCCCTCACCTCACCGCCGGCGAGAGAAAAAAACCGCCACTTCCCGCCGGCCAATCACACCCAGACCCACTGGCTCTCAGCCAATCACCGCCCGAGATCGTGGACCCGTGCAGCCAATCGTCGTCGGAGGTGTAAGCGGGAGGCGGGTTGCTCTTACTGTGAAGGACTCTTCCGCCTTCCTCGGGCGCGCGCGCTTTCCGGCGGGCGGCGCTCGTTGGCTGCTGGAACGCGTCGGCCGGCGGGAGACGTGCGTGTGCGCAGGGCAGCGCCTTCTGAGGAGAGCCGTGCGTTGCGCGCGGTCACGTCCCGCCTTACAAAGCGCGCTGCGAGCACCTCTAATGTTCCGCCGTCCCTCGTTTAGAACAGTGATGTCACGGTGTAATGCAAACGAGCCAGCAGGATGGAGTTCGATAAACCGATCAGATTCTCTCAAGCGCTTAATTCAAAAGCATTTTCATTACCGTCGGAGCACAGTACAGAATTACAGACCTGTGTCTGACACGGGCTGTGCTGATCCCGCATCGCCCCGCGTGGGAAAACCGCGCGTCACAGCAGGCAAACCTGAACCGTGTAATTAAAATACTCATCCCACCGGTTTTCTAAAAAGGGAAAGAAAGCAAATGGGAGCTATAAATAGCAGAACAGCTGTACTGAAAGCACTCAGCGTGCCACCAGATGTCACTGCGATTCAAGCGAATGACAAGCGGTATGAGATCGGAGCGCGGCCAGCGCCGGGCTGACCCGCAGCGATGGGCGCTGAGCTTAACCGCGGCATTCGCTGCGATCACGTTCTCTCTCGGGACACTTAACAGTTTTGTTTGGCACGAGAAAGGTCAGCTGTAGAATTTGCATGGAGTTTTGCGTGACACGGACCGGAGCGAGCAATGAAAGCCTTCGATTCTCCTCAGCACAAACAACTGCAAGGATTTCAACGGCGTTTTGGGAAATATTTCTTAGTTTCTGCGTCCCCCAGGCCTTTTTGAAAAGATGTTTCTTTCCTTTGCTGAAGCCACAAGATAACTGCTAAAATATGTCTAAAATTTCAGTGAGTTCACTGGCCCTTCTGCTGAAAGTTCCCTCCAAAGGGATCAGTTGGGCCACCTATGCTCCATGATATATGGCACTTACACTTAAAAAAGAATGGAGAAAATGGAAGCAGAAGTGCGTTCAGAACAGGGTCTTGGAAAAATGGAAAACATTGTAGTCAATAAAATCAGTGTTTGGCACAGGTACTGTTGTGTATAGAGTTGAGACGGGTCAAAGCATTTCTGCCAAACAGTTTTAATATCAAGTGTCAGCTGAAATAGTTACAGATCTGAGATCATAAGGAGAAGGCCAAATCAGGAAAGAAGTCAGTACTAACATTAGACCCATGTTGGCAAATGAATAAACGTTTAGAGTTGCCATTCTGTGTCTTTATGAGACGGTGCTGAAAAGTACACACAACTAATGCACAGAGCACTGATGAGCATTGAGCTCAGTTAAGTGCTATGATTACAACAGACCATTAGTATATCGTTACTACTAGAAGCTGGATTTTTAATAGGAGAAATTCAGATTCACTATTAATTTGTGACTAAATATAAAAAGAACACCTATATTAAAAATAACACTGCCTGTAAGACAAATCTCGCTGGGCGTGCACAGCAAAAGTCAAAGTATTGATAAATCATCTGACCAAACATTATTGATATTTATATTGCTGGATATTCAGATGTCAAGATCTCTCATGAAGTAAAGGGATTGTAATATCTAACCCTTGAATACTCTTAAATTGTGGCATTGGTGCGCATGCATGCACACAAAAACACAAGCTAAAGTAACCTCACATTGTTTTCCAGTGACGTATTCAAGTCAAAGACCACAGTCCTTTACTGCTCTCAGGTCAGTCTGCACTCTGATAGCATCCTCAGGTGGTGCTTAATACTATTTTCTAATGAATACACTGACAAGGATAAAGGCGGTATTATGAGTTCTGATTGATGTCTGTAACACAGGAAAAGAGGAAAAGAAGTGTCACAAAGACATTATAATAGCACGTATGTCTAGAAGCATACTCCTTTGTGCATCTGTATGCATTAATTATAATACAATCTCTATACTTCAGAATAAAAAGTGATACTGAAATTCTTAAACAACTTAGCATGATACAGACATTTCCACATATTTAACATGATTCACGATAGCCATCTTTTCCCCCTGGCAACTTTGGCACTGCAATGTTAAAGGTATTAGTCCTGATTAAAAAGTAATTAATAAAAGCATATTACCAGTTATGTCTTCTAATTAAACGTCTCTGATTTGCTTTAGGAGATACCTTGGTACCAGATAATTCACATCTTGAACTGTATGGGTTAAATGCTCTGCTAAATGGTTACTGTAGAGATGGACACTCTCTTACCCTCTGTAAATATATTCTTATGAAACTTCCAAGAGAAAAGCACATGGTCTGAGAAAATGTAGCAATAAAAATGGAAAAAAGACATGGATGGAAAAACAAGGTAACTGTGAAGCTTAGACTCAGTTAAGACCATCTTGTGCAATTCTGGGGAGGGCTTAGAAGAGAACCATTTTTTTCTTTCCCCTAAAACAATATTAGAGTCATAACAGAGTAACTGACAACATGCCTTTTTCCAACATTAGATCTTAATCTTGCAGGAGCCACATGCATAGAACTGAGGTGAAATGGCAGCAAATTCCACGTAAGAAATAGCAGCAAAGTCATTTTTGAAGCTATATAAACACTGTAATCTTTTCAAGTGTCGTTTGGTCAATTTTCAGCAACTCTTGAATCCAACTTACTTCCTAAACTGAGGATGTTGCTCTGTGAGTGACAACTCAGTACTATGTTGGCTAAAGAGCTTTCTTAACTGTTAACAGGAGTACCATTCACAAAGACAACACAAAACCATGAAAAGCTTTATTGCAACCTCTCATATTAAAATAGTCATAGTTTTCTTACTGTTCTTAAAGGAATTAAACACTTTACAACTCCTCACTGAAACAAAATGACTTTTGTCAAGCAGAAGTATTTCATTGACATACTGTGTAATGTACTTTTTTCTTGACATGACAATCAGGAAAGGGAACATTCTCATTTACATTTATTCCACGTTTGTTTACAAAAACATACTTGAAAGGACCTTGAAACTGTGGATTACCGGACATTCTATGACTATAATAAAGACAAGTTTTGAAAGTGCATTATATGGCAATAACTCTTGTGAAGAATTCACTTTTACGAAATCCTCATTATAAGTGAAGTGCTCAGTTTGAACACAGTGCAGGCAGTCAAGTTGTCCTGAGAACTTAAGTGGTCATAAGTCTGCCTTCATGATAGGTGCACGCTACCACTACTTAATGGCTTAAACCTTTTGTTGTTGTTGTCAACTAGAATCCTTCTGATGTTCACTACTGAATGTGACAGGAAAAAACAAGTACAGATTCCATCTGTCATGACTCAGCACCTGTGTGAATATTTAACAGCTCAGGAGCACCCTAAAGAAAAATGTTTTTATATACTGAAGGAATCTAGAGATCCCTCCCAGTTCCTTCCTAGTGAAGGCATGCTCAACTCAGTCAGCAAAGTCAGGCAACTGGTTTAATAACAGCTGCTGTCCATTCTTCTACAGCAGTGCAAGACATGCAGAGATAAGAGGCAAACTTGGAATAGCACTTGAATATTCAAGATTTTGTACGTGCAAATACCCTGAGAGGTTACAGAAGGAAGACAATACAAGCCTAACTCACTTTGCTGAGATATTCAGTTCTCACCTCTCTGATTTTCTGATGTACATGACTTTAAACTGATGGTCTCTCTATAATCTCTTGCTCCTTGCAATGATAAGGAAATTTTGACATTTGCAAGCATGAATAATTCTCTTCCAGAAGACAGCAATAGCATATTAACACCAGTAAGCCAAATATTGCATTGGGCTCCAGCAACACCCATTGTAAAACAGTATTAAATAGCAGTCTCAGAAGAGAAGGAAGTTAACAGTGTGCTGAGAGACAATTCAGTGCTTTTGCTCAGGAAAGAAATACAGTAATTGGAGGGAGGGGGGGAGAAGGAGTAATACTTTAAAATAGTGCCTTTTATTCAGCACATGCTCTTCTGTGCATGTGTGTGTGTGTGCATGTGCCTATGTTTTCTTTTTACTTTGCTAACAAGTATGTAAAATTCCACTTCTATGGAGTTCAACAACAAGCAATAAACTTTAATGGTATTACTTAGTAAGCAAGCTTCACCAAAGGAAGGTTCAATTCATGCCAAGAAAGATTCTTCTGCAGTTACTCAAGGTGTGTTTCCCCTACGTGACATTTGGCACAATCTGCAACAGCACTGAGAATTTCTTTGCAGCAGAACTCATCCTGCAGCAGCTGACACAGTTTGTCACACTAAAGGCAGCCTGGAAACTACAGCAACACTGCTACTGACTATAGAGAATATCTGGGTTGATTACTTCAGATATGTCATACACCATCATATATCATTTAGCCATACAGAGCCCACCATAGGGCACGAGTCAAAAAGTGCCCCTTCTTGCATTGCTCCATCTCTCCGTCTCTCTTTTTTTTTTTTTGTTTTTTTTGCCTATGAGGAAGAGCAGAGTTTCAGTTCTCCTTCCCCTATGACAAAAGAGCTACTGCTCAATTGTTCAACAATTACCCCTTTAACTCAGATACAGAAAATAATGCAGGTGGACTGAAAGCACATGGTGTTTTTAATCTGTGTATCTATAAATCACTCTCCAGCCTCACCCCAATCTCAGAAGTGTTCTGCCTGTCTTAATGGCTATGAAGGCTTAACAGTTACGAAATTTCCCAATGGAGCAATTGTGTTACTCGTTCAAACCAATTTCAACTTGAACTTCTGATCTCACTGTGCTCCAATACAAAATTAAAGCACTGCTGGAATTCATTTTCTGTTAAATAGAAAACAAAAGTTCTTTTATGCAAAAAGCTAATAAAGAAATGATTATTTTTACTGTTCCCTACCCACAGATAACCACTGGTAATTGATCAGCATACATACAAGTTAAAAACCAAAATTAATTACCAAAGGTAGGGAGGTTTATAGGAAGAGTAATACTTAGAATACTTAGGCTGCTTTCAGAGGAAAACCCTGCCAGTGCCAACTGAATTCAACTACTGACAAGTGTCCTGCTGAAAACAAGCCATTCAAAGTACATCTTGCATTTCTACTGTTACACTGGACAGCTATGTAAGCTATATAAATGAAACCTGTAATCTGTGAACATTTCATTTACTTAAGAAAGAAATCAGAATCGCATTTAAGCAGCAGTTGTTAACAGAAATGGCCAAATTATAGAATGAAAACAAATGATTTGTCTGTTCTATCAAAAGTTTTTTTTTTTTTTTTTTTTTTCTTAAAGAAAACTCTTAACTGAAAGTAGTATGCACTGGATTGCTTTGGAAGAAAAGACAAACATGCAATTCAAAACAAAGAACAAAATAGTGGATGTGTAAGTGCACATTAACTTTCAGAGGGTGAGTTCTCCAGTATGACAAGACAGTCAGTTCCAACAGTTTCCAATACAACTGAGTTTTCACTGTACTCTGAAAGAGGTGCTAAGCAGGTCAAAGAACCATCATTCATCAGTTGTTCCTTTGAAAGCTAAAGACTACTGAACTGGGAAGCCTGTTCACTTCAAATCCTGGCACTGATAAATAGTTAGCCCAACTAGTAACATTAAGTTGCCAAACACTTGAATTTTCTCAGTGTTTCTGCACTTCCAGAATTACTTGTTGGACCTTTTGCATTAGCACATACTCAACCATGAGTTAATTACAACTGTGGTTTTAAAAATCACTTGTGATTTTGACGAATAAGCAGCAATCTAAAGTTAGATGTCTGGTAACATGGCTTGATTTTCATAGTACAGTTCTTCCAAAAAGCAGCTCTAATAATTTGACCCAGACAGCTTTGAAAATTTATGCCATAAATTCTGCATGCAAGTGTTGAGTATGTGGGGCAAAAAAAAAAAAAAAAAAAAAAAACAAAAAAACCCAACAAATAAATGGACAATCTTTTACTTACTAGATTGAAGTCTGTCACCAAGCTTGTTGCCTACCTCAGATCAAACTAATTCCTCAGAATAAAAGTTGCAGAGCAAAAGTATTGGGTATGCGGTACTTGTGTTGCTATGCTTTCCTTGCTGTAGAAGATAATCTGAGGACACATTTAAATACTAATTTACCATTAAAAGCATTATTTTGCTTTGAGGTTCCTGTTTCGCGTTGCAAAGGATCCAATCTTAGAGATCAACTGGTTTATAATAAAAGTAGCTGATCAGAGCATTCAAAAAGTATTACAGCAATGGCAGTGGGATGCTGGGAAACAGGGAGCCAGGATTCAGAGTCACAGAATCCTACTGCAAGGTTCTGTAACAAGCTGAATGTATTGTCTTTTCTTTCCTTTCTCACATCTGCTTGATTTACAAGTTTACCTATTTCAAGTATGAGTGTAAGAGCATACGCGTAATTCAAGTGCAAAATTTCTCTGGTTTTCCTTAGTAAAAGCAGCTGCAGAAGGACAACTCCTGTACCACCACCTGGAGGAAAAGCCTACTGGTAAATCTGGTAAACAAGATGCGAACTTCCCCCTGAAGCATCAGAGTACCTTCATACACTCTAGTAACAATCACTCCCCCTGCCTACAGCAAACAGTGGAGATAAGGCACTTAATAAAAATAATAATAATAAAAAGGGAAACAGGGGCTGATGGGAAATTTTCATGCAGGTTTTGCTCAAAACAACATTTCTTTACTTTCCAACCCCAAAACTAATGGAAATACTCAACACAGTAACAGTCTTTTAAAAAAAAATTATGTATATATATATATATATATATGTAAGTGCTTCCCTACAGTGTCTGCCATGCAAATTGTGTGCAACTGGAATAGTGCCCAGAGTTGGTGTGATAATACAAAGTTAGAAATGAAAACAGTAAAGCTACACTGCCCATTTAAAAAACAGACAGTACAAAACAGTAAAATAGATCTGTTAGAAATACTCTATGCAATCTAGAATATTGCTAGCAACATAAAGTGTCTTCTCTTGATCTCTTCCAAATAGCCTGAGAGAATCCCTTTGAACCATTCTGCCTTGATTCACACATTACAAGAAACCACCCAGGCTTTCAGCAGATGTAGCTCTACACTTTTTGGCCCTTTATACTTTCAGAGGTTTAGAACAGTACGTCCGGGTCGCTGGCTACCTGCCTGTCGTGAAACTCTGCCAGGTTTGGTAGGCTTCAAAAAGGAGCACAGAGCAATGCCACGCAAGAGAGGGCTGCTGAGACTACTGCAAAGCTGTTCTGCATCCACTTTCCTTCATTCAGATGAAGTGGATCCAGCTCTCCTCGCATTCTCTAGGCATTTTGAGGGGGTGAGTCCGGCAAGTGAGGCTGTAGTTTTTGCCTTTGTTGTTATCCCAATACTCCTGCCCATTGACTTGATATCTTGCTGCAAACTGGACCACAGAGCACAGCTGAAGGAGGAAAGAAGGCACAGGGAGAAAAAAAGTGAAAACATCAACTTGATCCTGCCCGTTTTTCTCAGAGATGCTACTGTGCCAATGAGCACACACTTCATGGAGGCTTTTCCATTGGTTGAAGGTGTATCGCACAGATACTTGCTTCTCAAAAGCAATGTTGCAAACTTGGATGGTGCCACTGACCCCCAGATCTGAACTGGTCACTCGTTCAAGACACACCTGCTGCTCCTGAAGTCGGGCAGAGAAATCCATGCAGTCTGCAGGCTGCTGGAAATCAGGGACTAAGTACTGCATGGTAAACTCCAAGTTGCTGTACCAGAGGTCTGAGTTAATGGAGAGCCTGGAAAGGACATGTAAGGGGATCGAAGGATCCTCCCCTTTCTGAAATACTTTGACTTCAGTCAGCTCCAAACCCAGAGCATCAGCAAATCTCACCTTGTTCATGCGGCTCTGGCACACAGGCGCCTGACACTGCACTCGCTTCCTTCTTTCAGGTGTTGTAGGCAAAGACCTCGCTCGGCGGCGGATGATAGGCCGCAGTGCTGGATCACAGCTGCTGGAAGTGCTGCTCTGAGGCTGATGAGGCTGGGCTGCCACCTTGACTGGGGTATGGCTCACAAGACATGGGCTGCTGCTCGGACGTACCATTGAGGGCTGCTGCTGTTCTCGTCCTGCTGCATCCTGAGCCCGCAGCATGTTCTCATAGAGATCAGACAGGTAGCTGCGATTCCTCCGAGGACCCCGCACCTCCATTCTTCACTGATGGCAGCGCTGACGTCAACACTGCTGGTGCCGAGCACTGCCTCTCTGATGTAACTTGGGAAAGACAGCCACGGACAGCGAGGGTTTGAGGTTACTGCCCTGGATAAAGAAGAGTAAGCTGGAACAACATAGCCTTCTGCAAGGAAAGACAGAAAACTGGCAGCTCTCACAGCAGCTGGGGGCAAAGCAGAGCCCGGAGCGTTGTATGGAGAAGCTGAAGGCAGGCTCAGTGGCTGGTGAACTCGAGGCTGGTGGACCCGTTGCTCAGGCTGGAAAGAGATTCAAGACTGTCACCCGCGATGCTGGAGGACCGCAGACTCTCACGCAGGCTGGGGACGGACTGGAGGCTGTCGTGCTGGGCGCCGAAGGACTCCAGGCTGTCACTGAGGTCGCGGGGCGCGTGAGGGCTGCAGCGGTGCACCCCGAAGCACCCCGGACCATTACACGCCGCCAGCCGGGTCTGCAGGCTGTCCTCGCAGGGGCTGACCGAGCCCAGGCTCCTGCAGCGGCACCCGGGACACTCGAGGCTGTCGCACTGGATGCTGGGCGACTCTCGGCCGCCGCCGAGGCCGGGGAAGGCTTGGAGGCTGTCGGGCGGGAGCGAGCCGGAGCTGAGACTGCTGCACAGGCTGGAGGGCGTGAGGAGGCTGTCGGGCGGGGCCGAGGAGGCGGACTCGGTACTGTGACTGGGAGGGGAGGGATCGGCGGCCGGGGTCTGCACAGCCCACATCAGTGCCCAGCTGCAGGCAGAGCACCAAGCCGGCCGCACCCGCGCTCCTCTCAGCACGGACCCCTCGCTCCCGGCCCGCCCGACGGCGCCTGCGCGGAACCCCCACCTTCCCGCCCACGCCGCGCCTCCCTGTCCATCAAACTGAACGGCCAATAAGCACCGCCCCCCGGCGCATGCGCGGCGCCTGCCTGACGTCGCTGCCTTCGGGGTGCCCTTAATGCCGGCGGAGGCTGCAAGGGAGGAAGGTACAAGTGGGCTGGGGGGCGGTAGCGCTGAGGGGTTGGTGGGACCGAAGGGGGAAATCGAGAAGGTTAAATAACGAAACATGACCTCATCGTCAGCCTGCGGGGCTGTTCTGTAGCAGGAGCCGTGAGCTGTCGCGTCCCCGGGGCAGAGCGGTGCGGGGCTGCAGGCGGTGCTCAGGCTGGGCTGCGGGACCGTGCGGCTCCGAACCCCGGAGATCCGAATCGATGGGGAAACGCACATCGTGCCGTGCTGGGCTTTGTCCTGGGGAGAGGAGAGGCTGTGAGAAACGGGACTGTGTCAGATAAACGTGAATGGTATGCAGTAACACGTACAAACAATAAATCTATCTATAGAACTGCAACAAAACTGAGGGTGGGTGTAGAAAGGTGACCTGGTGCAGAGCATCTGTCACATCCCAGGAACTGTATCTGTGCAGCCCCGGGAGGGGAGTGCGGCTTCTGGAAAATGAAGGAATGTTGCATGCTCTGCTGTGGCTATTTTTAGTGGGATGGATGAGCAGCGAGAGGCTTGGTTTGGGAGAAGAGTGAAGCATTTGATGCATTTACATATATGAATGTACCACGAGCACATTTTCCGGCACAGAAAGGGCAACTCCACGCAGGCAGCGATCAGCATTCAGTTGTGAGCAGAAACACCCATCCCTGTTTGACCGATCCTCGGTGCAGGCAGAACAACATGAAGAGCTCACTGCACGGTGAAAAGTAGCTCTCCTAACGCTGCTGCACGTCATCGCGTTTTTCTGTATCTTTACCAACAGCCCTGCAGACCGTGTGCTGTGTGCTGGATGGGCTGAGCAGTGCTGGCCCGGCTCACCTCACTGCAGGGCTGCCTGCAGAGTGTCTGCATCTCTGCAGCTGATGCTGAGCACAGCTCTGTGCAGCCAACTTGCTGCTGGTGCTGAGCACTGGCTGTGTGCAGCCTTGGTGAGATGAACATGTGACTGCTGAGGGATGGTGCATCCCAGTGCCGTTCGGTAGCTAATTAATATTTGTTGTATTGCTTTAATAATCTCGTTGCGTGGTTTTTGTTCACTGCGTTTCCAGGACGTGGTGATGTTTGTGTTTGGCATGCTATGCTGTGTGGACCAGAAAGAATGGAGTCGTTGGAAGATTATGTAAAGATAAAGACGTAGATACCACTTTAAAAGAGTAATAATGGGACCGGGCATTCAAGAACATCCTTTATTACTGCACCGAAAGACACAGAAAAAGGAAAGCCAAATCAATGAAAACCACAAGGGAATGGTAAAGTAAGGAAATTATTTTCTTTCTAGTTATAGAAAGTACTGTAGAGGAGGTAATAAGTGCATGACTGCGCAGTTCAAATGCTCATCCTCCTCTCCAATCCACAACAACACAAATGATTGTGTGATATGACTGTGCAGGTCACAAAGTGACACAGGTGACTGCAGCACTGCTGGAGGCACAAAAGTTATCTTCACTCTTTTATAAACTCTTGATTAAAAAAATATCTTTTTAAATAATAAAGAATAATGCTTTAAATTTTGTTGAGACTGTGCAAATGAAAATGGGAAGCAAGATTTATTGTGGCATTCATATTGTACTGTATAATTAATTTTGTTAAAGTGCACTGGGGCCATGAGTATTCCATGCTAGCTCAATTAATAATTAATATTTACTATTTATTATCTCCAAAGGAACTTTGGGATCCTCTGATGGAAGTTTCTTTATGAAGGCTAAGTTCTCTTAATATATTGTCCATTTTAATTATGCATTTTGCAGTAATAGTATTAAAAATGTAGTATTATAGTAGTTGGATAAAAAACAAAAGCATAGTTACTATGAATGTTAAGACTGTTTGCAACCAACTATCTCTTCTTGAAACTTAATGGTAAACTTTTATTGAATTTCTATTCTGATGATCATAAACATTTCTATTAATGTGTGATACTGTGTTTGACCCTTGCTAGTTACAGTAATGGAAAAAGCCACCCAAGCACCAAAGGAGCAAAGAAATCAGTTTCTCATGTGAAATCTCCTGGAAGATTATGCAAAAATGTACCAACTACCAATGAAAAGGTAAATCATACCGGTTCTTTTATAGAAAAAAGATACAATATTTGTGTTAGCTTTTGTAATAACATCACATACTTTCATATCTTTTCAGACTTCCTGTGACACTCAAGATGATAACCAACCAAGTGTTTTTAAGAAGGGGAGAAACCAATTGGATGACAGTACTCAGTCAAAACAGTAATTCTATTTTAGGATTGTCTGTTTAATTTGTACACAGTTCAAGCTGGCATTTAAATGCTTTTGATGAATTCTTGGCTTCATTGTGTTGCCTTTGAGGTCACTGCACCCAAAAGTCAGCATTTTTGAGGATAACAAGTTTGAGTTATCAATATGGAATCTTGCTATACTGGATCTCAGGCAAAATTGGAATGAAATAAAGCAAAAATTCAAGGCTAGGTAGTATTCTGTATTAATTTACTAAGTTTCCATGCAGATTTTACCTCAGTTCATGTATATCCAAATCCTTAAGGGGGGAATCAAGAAGTTTGTAAGCTGGTGTTCCAAAGACTTTAACCATTCTAACAGGATGTGATATTTCTTTTTGTTTAGAATCACAAGTGTTTGCACATCTCTGCCCAAAGTTCAAGGGTCAAAGAGGAATCTCCCAGAAACAAGGCAAAGTGAATCTTTACTGCACAGGATCCCTCCTTCCACAAAAGGCAGCACACAAGGTAGCTTCTGTAGAGTTAAAGATGTCCCAGTGCAACATTTTTATTGCAGTAAAAAAGAACAGTTGGAAAAGAATCACGAAGAACATGCTGCTGAAGCTGGTCCGTGTTCCTCTAAATGGCAGGAAGCATCTGTGAACGAAATGTTTCTTGATTTTGAATCGGTACAAATTATTAAAGAAGATGCTGAAGATGATAGTGCTAGTGATCTCTCTGATTCAGAAAGGATTCCCATTCCTCCATCTCCCTGCACACCACCAGAGCTCATACTCAGAGCTGAAGAAATTGATCCAGTTTGTTTGGAACGTGTGCCTGATACGGGTTTTAAAGAATCAGAATATTACTATCCAGACTTCCTGCCACCTCCTTTTAACTCATGGGACTTGAAGCAACTGGCCATCTTTGTTAATGTAGAAGGTAGATCTGAACTTCGACCAAAGCCGACCGGATTTCTTGAGAAATACATCGATCGTCTTTTGCAGCTGGAGTGGCTGCAAATGCAGACTGTGCAGAATGAGAAAGCAAAGGCAGCCAAAGTCAGACCACAGACTGCTCCCAGCTCCGTACGTACCCTAAAAAGCCCTGGCAAATGCAAAGCATTGCTTAGCCCTTTGCCTAACAAGCAAATGGTTCCCCAGGAAAGCGTTACAAAACTCCCCACGTGCTATTCAGGTCACAGGGTAGATCCATGCTGTGAGGAAAGTCGACAGTTTTATTCACATCCAGGTCACTTGAAACTGTCTGAAAGAATGGGACATGCAATATCTTCTCAGAAACAGTCTGGTGAAGTAAGAAATGAATTGAAAAAAACTGAAAAAAAAAATATGCAGCCATCTGAGAACAATTCTAAAATTCAAAGTGTTGGTAATATCAGACCCCCTAAGCAAGCGCCAGCATTTCATGGTTCAGCTGCTCCTATCAAAGGCTTAAAAACATATGCATGTACAAACACAAAGAAAAATGGCAATGCTAACAATTATGTTCCTTCTAAAAAATCAGCCGGGGACAGAAAAATAAAAACAAATGGCACAAAGCAGACATCACGGAAATTTAAGTGAAGAGTTTATTAGTTGATGTTTCTTGACTGCTAGAAAGTATTTGGCCAATGCAGAAGGGTCATGTTATCTTCATAGGAAGATCCTGAGAAAATACATTCTTGATTCATGTTCTAAGTCAGCATTGTTCATTTCAATACATTTGATCTTAAGCCAGCAAGGCCAGCAGGAAATCTTTTCCCTGAAGGCAAGTGTCTTCCATTGGTCTTTCCTTGAGCATATTGACAATTGCTCAAGAGTATGAAAGTTTGGAGA